TTTTTTTTTTTTAAATATATGTCAACTTGAAAAATTTTTCAACTAATTTAGGACCACGAAAAATTTTCTTACAGCTTTTGAGAGCTCACAGACATACCTATTGATTATTATATTCATCTTTCCCATTGAATTTAAATTGATCAGCACCTATTTTTTTAATGACGTGATGAATTCTAGTGGTTTTAGCAAATTTTAGTGGTTTTAGCATCTTCTTAAGAACTAATTTGATTGCTTGTATGTAGAAAATATGCTTTGAAAAGTAATGATTTTTCTCTTATTTTGAATGTGAATTATGTGATTTAATTATTTTTGTGGGAGTTTTGAAAATATTTGTGAAGTTTGAAATTATTATTTACGGATTATTAGAGCCAACCAAATGATGATTTAACAACTTCATCAGCTTTAGTGTAGCAGTTCTTAGAGAAGAGCTACAGCTGCTTTTAGGGCTGCAAGCGAACCAAACGTTCGACGAACTACTCGTTGTTCGGTTCGATTAAAGCTCGTTCGTGATCGTTTAATTAACTAACAAACAAACTTGAACAATATTTTAAATACTCGATTCTTAAATAAACAAGCTTGAACACTAATGTGTTCAGCTCGTATGTGTTCGCGAACAACATCAGTTGATGTTCATGAACAAGCTCGATAAAAAGCTCGATTCGAGTTCGATTAAATATAAAAACTTTAATTATACCATAATATAATATAATTATTTTTTATTAATAAATTTTAAAGTAATAAAATATTATAACATATGTTCATATAAATTAATCATATTTTCATTTTAAATATACAACTGCTTTTATTTTAGAAATTTCATTTCATGAACAAGAAATATTTCATATTTGTCCATGTTTGTTAGATTGTTTGTTTAGAATGTTCATGAACAAATTTAATGTTTGCTTGTTCAATAGATTGTTTGCGAGATATGTTCACGAACATAGCTCGTTTAAAGCTCGATAAGCACTAAACAAACGAACATGAACCAAACATGAACCAAACATGAACACCCTTAAATTAAATGAACCAAACATGAACACAAATAATAAAGCTCGAATCAAACACGAACCAAACATGAACAAGCTAATGTTAAACAAACACAAACATGAACACTCACATACTCGGCTCGGCTCGGTTCGTTTGCAGCCCTAACCAAAATTTTAAACTTTGGCTTACATAGTAAATTATTAATCCTATATTTATTTCCAAATACTCCATTAATGATAGGTAATTGTTTCAGTCCAACGGCGCCGTTAAGCCTCTGATGGACGGCGTTGATTGAGTTATCAACCTCGTTTTCATCTTTCCTTTCTTGTCTGCAACTCACATGGAGTGGAGTCGACGCCAAGCTTGGCACTTTCTCTCCCTCTCAGTTTCCGCGATATAAAAAAAATCCCTTTTTTGGAGCAATCTCTTGGTTATTGGCATTGTAGAAATTCCCAACAGGTCGCGTGCCGGACTTCTAACGGAAGAACAGGAAACCTCTATCGCAATACTCTGGGGACTTGGAAAGTGAGAGCAAATCTGTGGATTTTGATTGCTCCTGTTTCCTTATCGACGATGATTTTTTGTTAGGAGGAAGAGAGGAGGGATATGAGCGGAGAGCTTCTGTGGAATTCGTACGGCATTAATTAAGTGATGGCTGCCATTGCAGCGGCTGCATCATCATCAGGGATGAGCGAGTCTGTGTTCAGAGTCGAAACTACGCCCCGGCTGGCCCAATGGCGGATCGAAACTCTCTCGAATTTCTCCTTCCGCAAGTCCGATCCCTTCAAGATCGGCCTTTGGAATTGGTTCTCGTTCTCACTAACCCTTACTTAGTTTCGATCTGATTTAGGGCTTTATTTCTTAGATGAAATGAAATTATTTCTTATTACAGATCATTTCTTCTATTTTTATTTTCTTTTTTGGATGGATATATCTTCGTGTGGTTTCTTTTTTCTGGCGATGAATGCTTAAGATTTTTTTTTTTTTTTTTTTTAAAATTGCTTGTTTTTGCGATAGTTTAGATGATTTAAGGTATTTCTCATACAGTGGAACTCAGTGCTGACTGTCAAAGTTCTCTGGTTCTGGAATATGTTTCCCATTAAACAATGGTCTTGTTGAAAAAAAAACCGTATTTTTTTTGCTGATTTTTCATCCTCAAAACAGTGGGAAGAACTTCTGGAATTGCTGCATTTTTAATCATCCTTAAATCACTTAGCATGTTTTTCTCTCTTTATGGTTGAGTCAATCAGCTTTGTTTTTACTATTTTTAAACGAATAGGTACTTAACTGTGGAAAGGAACAAACAACTTGTTGTGAAACTATATCCCGAACCATCAACTATGACGAAAGAGCATCCCCCAATTGCCTCCTTCATCATCAAACTTGTCTCCTGCTCTGCTCCTAATCTCAAAAGCGTTGTTCATCCAGGTTCTCTTTTCTCCATTTTCAAAATGTTTGTTTTACCTTCTTTTACTTTTTCATTATTACTTTGCATTACATCATCTATTTGAATCTTATTGATTTGATAGTGGATAATAAGAACTTATAAATTTTCATGATAAAAACAAAGAAACCATTCAAGCTGAGCGGCATTTAAACTATTTTCATGCAGGAGTATGCGACAAACAACTGAAGAATAGTGATGATTTTGTTTGGGCAATTGATATATTTTTTACTGGAAAATTTATAATTGATGTGGAGTTCCTTGATCTTAAGACAGTGCCTCAATCTGTAAGTAATTATTTCCTCTGGAATGGATCAGTCTATTTTTTCTGAAGAAAACATAATAAAATATGACGTGCCTCTTTTTTTTTATTCTTTTTGATAGAACTGTTGCAATGTAACCTGCAAACCTTGCCAAAAAAGAAAGCACAATTCGTTTAACTCCCTTTTTTAGAACCTTTGGACAGACACATTTTAAATATGCCTTCTTTGAAGACCCAAATAAGATTTTTTTGTTATATATTTTGATAGAAATGGTATAAATGAAATTTGAACTAATTTTCAATATCTCAGATGGAAATCAAGTGAAAGGCCGTGCTTAAAATTCATAGGCTTTGTTTGGGATGATTTTTTTACTGTTTTTTAAAATAACTTTTTAATTTAAAAATTAAAATTTTTATAATAGAAAGCTGCTTCAAGAAGAAGTAAGAAAGCCAAGTCAAATTTGCTATTGAGTAGCAAAGTTTGTTTTCAATTCGAGCCATCAATGACTCTTTTATTTTAGAGCCAAACGTTGATTCGATTTCAATCATAAACATAAATATACATATATGTGCATGAATGCATATATGCATAGACATATTCATCAGATCATGTTCTCTCTCGACTCGATCTAGGCTTGGGCTTAGGCTTCGTTTGGGATGACTTTCTTAATGTTTCTTAAAGCAGGTTTTTAGTATACAAATTTAAAAATTTTATGCTAGAAAACTGCTTTAAGAAGTATTAAGAAAGCCGTCCCAAACGAGCCTTTCATTTAATCCCATCCCACACCAAGTATTATTGGTTAGCATGCTTGTTGTTTTTTATTCAAAAGCTCTATCCGAGTAAAAAACTAAGCTAGTTTTTAAACTTCCTTTGATTTACGAGCCAATTTTAAAGCCAAAAATGTCAGTCATTTGGTATTGTTAAGCCTGACATGTTATAATTATAACATTTGAAAAGAGCTATAAGGTCCATTTTCTGTATAAAAACATTGTTACATATGATTTTTTTTCTCAAATAACACTCCAAATTGTGTCCAACTACTTGCTTGTAATTCTAACTCATCCTCCTTTCTGATACTTATATATTTACTGAACTCTGGCTATGAAACGCAGGGTGGGGATCCTTCATCCATCTGGTCTTGTTATCACATCGAAAAGAATTCCCTTCCTATTGCTCTCAATTCCCTTCGCCGAATGCTAACCGAGGGCATTCACACCGATATCACCATAAACACCTGCAATGGCTCCATTGCTGCCCACCGAGCTGTTCTTGCCACAAGGTCCCCTGTCTTCCAGAGCATGTTCTCTCACAGCCTCAAGGAGAAAGAGCTTTCTGTAGTGAATATTTCCGATATGTCCATTGAGGCATTTCAGGTCTTGCTTAACTACATATATGGAAACTTCAATGCAGACGAGTTTCAAACTCATCGGCTTGCACTCCTTACGGCTTCAGATAAGTATGACATTGCAGACCTGAAGGAGGTTTGCCATGAGAGCCTTTTAGAAGATATTGATGCCAAGAATGTTCTTGAGAGACTCCATATAGCACATCTCCATAGGCTTCAAAGTCTGAAGACTGGTTGTTTGAAATATCTGGTGAACTTTGGGAAGATTTATGAAATTCGTGATGAGTTGAATGAGTTTCTTCAGGGATCAGATAGAGAGCTTATAATTGAGATCTTTCAAGAAATTCTAGCTGCGTGGAAGGGCTTTTAGTAGGATCTTCCGTGTGAATGACTTCTAACTGGTTGCTGAACTTTAGTGGTGCTGAGGTAACTTTTTTTTACTGACTTTTAGTTGGTTAGCTTGGAGCCTGGTCATGAACTGATAGTTTATAGGATTTATTTTAGATGGAGAATTCTGAAATGAATGTACTGAAAACAATATTTAATAATAAATACGTTTCTGAATTAATAATCATTGTATTCTCAATTTACTGATGTTTTTTTTTTTGAAATAAGGTTCATTGAATTACTTCTGTTTGTATAGATTTGGCAACTGACAAAATTTATTAATGTTTTGTTTGGTATGGCTTTGTTATTGTTTCTTAAAGCCGTTTTTAGTAAAAAAAATTAAATTTTATGCTAAAAAACAATTTTGAGAAGCCATAATAAAGTTGTCCCAAGGCTTCGTTTGGAATGACTTTCTTATTGTTTCTTAAAACAGCTTTCTAGTACAAAAGTTAGTTTTTTCTATTAAAAAGCTTGTTTTAAGAAACAGTAAGAAAGATCTCACAAATGAAGCCTAAATTTGGTTTGAAGTAAAGTGGATTGTTGGGTTTTTTAGAATATTATTCTTTGATTGGATGAAAAGTAATATAGTGTAAACTATTCTAAATATAGCCTAAAGTATTTTAGTTCATTTTTTAGAAAAAATAAACACGCTTAAACTTTGAGCGAAAATTTGTTTCACTACTACTAATCTACATTGTTGCCACTACCGCTGGCCTTTGTTGCCTGTTCTCTACTAACCTCCGCAACCGCCCACATTTAGCTACCAACATTGTTGTTGTTGATCACCGTGGTTGGTCACTCCCATCATTGGCGGCCCGCCGCCACCACCACTATTTACTATGAATTACTGTCATCTTTGTATTTTACATTGCATTTATTTTACTTCATGTCAAATAAAAAAAAATATCATGCATTCTTTTTACTCTCATTCAAATAACTTTTAAATATTTTAAATAAAATATATTATTTTATATTGTATTTTCTCTTAGTCTGCATTCTTTTTTAAGCAAATAAAACAGCCCCAAAGTTACAATTTTTTTCTCTAAATGATAATAGAAATAATGTTTGCATTGATGTTCAATTAAATAAATGAAATGAAATACATTTTTATTAGCCTGAAGTGAAAGTTGAGACAATTTCAGGGTTTTAACCAACATGATGTCGGCTTTATTTGGGATGATTTTCTTACTGTTTTATAAAGCATTTTTTTTATACAAAATTTTTTTAAATAGATTTTTTTGAGTTAAAAATTATTTTAGAAGACAATAAAAAAGTTCTCCCAAACGAAGCAACAATGTTGATGTAGTTAATTTTCTTTGCATTTTAGTTGTGGGGCTACCTTTCAATTCAAGTGAGTTGTTTAATAAATGTATAAATAACTTTAGATTAATTTTAAATTACTTTTTATTTTTCATGCAATTTATTTTTACTAGATAATTATTATATTTAAGGGGAGATTAGTATATTGTTCAATTCTATTAAGTATGTTAACAATGACAGAATATGTAATAGTTAAAATGATTTTATGGACTCTAGAGATGAGCCCGATTAAAAAGAAAAGAAAAAAAAGACAGAATATGTAATACAAATTATCCCTTGACATTCAATTATACTAAATAAGAAGTAAATGTGTGAGGAATGAAACTAATCTAAATAGCAAATTAGAACATTTAGGCCAATTAAGGCAAACTCACACACACAACATATACTCAAGACTCGAACCAAAGACCTTTTAATTGGTAGCCAGAGCTCCCAACCAACAAACCCATGTGAGTTGCGTAATTAGAACAGTTTTTAAATTGGTAGCCAGAGCTCCCAACCAACAAACCGATCTACTTAGACTTAGGCTTCGTTTGGAATGACTCTCCTACTATTTATTAAAGCAGTTTTTTAGTACAATTTTTTTAATTAAAAAATTACTTTAAGAAGCAGTAAGAAAGACGTCCCAAATCAGAGAGATTATTAGGTGCTGAGTGCGGACGGGGAGAACCGTCCGCACAAGCACTATACCCAGCTAGGTACCGGCACTCGGTACCACTGGGTACCGTTGGGTACCGCTAGGTACCCAGTGCTTGTGCAAACGGTGCACACTCCGCACCTAATAATTTTTCCCCAAATCAAGCCTTAGTTTGAGACAATAAGCCTTAGTTTGAGACAATTTTTTTTTCCTAAAGCAGCTTTTTAGTACAAATTCTTTTATTCAAAAAATTTTTATGTTAAAAAAACCTACTTCATTAAGCAATAAAAAATTTGTCTCAAATGAAGTCTCAATACAATAGGTAAAACTCTTTTATTCTAATGAGTATGTGCAACATTTTCTCAATCTTGCTTCAAGGGGCAGCCACTTCTTTTTCTAGCAATGGCTTAATATGCTTAAACATGGAGAAGACATTGAAGTTGCTATTCTCTTATTTTCTTTGTTATGGAAGTGCGTAGGAAAGGTTCTCTTGCTGTGCAACCCGCAAAGGTCCCAAATAAAAAAATAATCTCTCTTAAAGCCAATAAAAATATCACAATATCTCTTGAAGTTAATGAATGATATAATAAAATTTCTCAAAATTAATAAATGATCTCTCCAAAATTTTCCTACTTGGGTTAGTATTATAGTACTATATTGAGATATTATTCACCAAATTATCATCTCTTATATTATTGATATATCATCAATAGTTTATCTTGATCGGGCACGAATCTCTTCCTCCTCTTCGTTTATTCCGAGTTAGAAGCTGAAGCTGACATCAGTGAGAAGCGCCCGTTGAGATTCGAAGAAGCTTGCGGTTCGTTCATCTTTTTGGCCCTTGAAGCCTCGAATTCGAACCAGTCCCATCCGAGTAGGGTCGTGGGGTCGAGAACGCAGCAGAACTCCGGTGAGATTTTAATTTACTTTGCATGCATATAACCAAATAGAAAAATCACTTTTCATGTATTCACTTTACATACAACCAAACAGCTCCTTAATTTCTCTAAATGCTTTTCGTTGGCCGAATGGATTAAGGAAAAGAGCTTTTAATAGATACAGGTTAATGGATTAAGATATTTTGAATAAAATAATATAAATGATATAAATGTAATTTTAAAACTTATTTAAAATTTTTTAACATAAAATTCATATAAAACTTCCTGTATTTTTAAATTTAGAGCTCCAAAAAATATATAAAAATATTCATAAAGTAGTCCAATATGTTTAAAAAATTATAGTGAAATCAATTTGTGAAACGGACACTTAATGGTCCCGAAACTCCGACTTATACCAACATATGTCAAATATTTAAAGATTACACAAATGTTCAAAAATTAGGAAAAAAATCACTGATTTACTAACTAGTTCCATCTAAAGATCTCTATCTCTAAACCCCAAATACTATGAAATAAAAAATTATGAAAAATGCCTTCCTCCCTTCTATTGCCCATACATGATATCCTATACATATCTTAGCCTTGGCCCTTTATGATAACTTAGCCACCCTGAAATCCTGTCCACCTTAACATCATTGTAATGTTCTCTATGATCTCCAACCTCCTAAGCTATCCTAGCCATGTCCGACAACCTTCTCATCACCTGAATGACTTCTTCAATGGTTATAAATAACCATTAGATGAAAAGAAAGGATTTTATCTCACCCATGTCCATAGCAACTAACGCCTCTATTTGTTCCAAGATCATAAAGTAAACCAAGCAAAAATGTTGGCATACATTGCTTTGGTAATATATGTTGTATGCAAGCTATTAATGGTGTGGCCTATTAATGATTACTACAATGTTGTTAAGTATACGACTTTCCGAAGTGCTCACAATCTTCTCTGAATGATATCAATTACTATTCTTCCTGACCCAAGACCTCCAACATCATCTCAAACCTAGCTCGATCAAAGCATATAATCATGTTGATAATGCTTCTATGTGTCGTTTTGATGCACCCACAAGGGCCACAACACAAATCCCAATATTATGGCATTTTACTACACACTTTATTTCATAGCATGTTGTGAATGTTATAACCAAAATTGTTCATGAGTTATATTAGAATCCTACAAACATATATTCAATGTGAGAAGAACTTGAGAGAAAAAGTAAGAAAAAACATTTCTAGCGTGTGAAGATTTGGATATTATTAATTAGTGATATTAATATCGAACGGTCCTCCGCCATTCCCTTTCCCTGATATCCAATTTATAGGTTTGGAATCAAGTATTAACGCTTTAGAATCGACTACATGTGGATTCGCATGAATAGTAAAGATTTGATGCACGTGTTTATGCCTCTATCAACACTTTCATATATATCATTGATAGACGCAATATTGGTTCCATTTGTCAATATCCTTACAACTACATGTAGGGGTGTAAGTGAGTTGAGCCAGCTCGAATCCAACTCAGTAATAAGCTCACATGTTGTGTTTATTAATCCATGAGCTCAAACAAACTCATATTATAGCTCATAAATTATATGAGCTTGAATTCAAGCTCGATAATACTTGCCTCATTTAGCTCACGAGTTGACTCGAATAAATAATAAGCATTAATTTTCTCATTTTCGCTATAATTTAAAAATATCCTATCAGTCTCCTCTACTTTTCCTATTGTAGATTTTCTAGTCCAGTTACATATTTTTCGTTATGCTGCTAGATTTTAAGAAAGAAAAAAGACAAAATTAATTGGATGGAACTTCCTCCAGTCCTATCTTTTTTTTTTTTTTTTTGATATTTTAAATACATTTCTTACACTGCTTCTACCAACTCCTGAATTTGAGCTTATTGCAACTCCACTTGGACAAAAGCATAAACATGTTGCGTGACTACAAAAATTGAGGGGCTAAACTATATTATTCTAGAGAGTTTGTTGTAATATCAAAATCTGCTCCAGGATCGTCAAGGACGATCTGGGATCGTCCTGGGACGATCAGTTGAGAATTTGCTCCAGACTTTGCCCAGATTTGCTCCAGGTGTTTTCTGTAGGCATCGTCCAGGCCGATTGAGGCATCGGCCAGACCGATGTGCACTGTTCAAAATATCGGCCGGAGAATAGTCCTGGGAACCGTCCAGGACGATCAAATTTGGTCTGATCGTCCTGGGACGATCTGGCGATCGGCCGGGCCGATCTGAGTATTATAAAGCTGAAATCAGTCGTTTTGAAGAGAGAGAAAATCAGAAATTAAAATAAAAATATCTTGAGGAGAGAGAAAGTCGAGAGAAATCTTGGAAAAGTGGATTTTCGGGCGACGCGGAGCTGTTTTCGTCCGAAGAGACTGTTCAGGAAATTGCTGTACGCAAGGTAAGGCACATTCCGCCTTTCTCAATTTTCAGAACCGTCGTGTTTGGCGGTATTTTCTGTCTGGATTTTGTTTCCGTTAGCGATTTTCGTCCGTATCTTTTGATTGGTTCAGTTTTTACCGCGTAACTTTTTGTTTATTGTTGTCGTGCCGGGTGTGCACGTTTTGACTATATTTTGAAGATTTTTGTCCGGGTATTTTTGATTCGACGGAGTTTTTAGTCGACTGGATTTTTCTGTGTAATTGAAAATCGTCTGTGCAGTAGAATAAATGTTCTGAAATGTTATTATCTACATTCTGTACGAATTTGGTAAATTGTAATTTTCAGGAAAAATTGTGTAAATTCCGTATAGTGCCGTTGTGCTGCCCGATTTTTGTCTGGATTTCTCTGAATTGATATGCTATTTGTATATGCTATACAAAATGAGTTATAAGGGGCGTGGATCCTATGAGATTCAGTTAGTGTCTGAGAAATCTGAAATGAGCTCAATCTGAATTATGTTCTGTTCCGGATCCGAGGAAATCTGTTTAGGTGCTATAACCACTATATATGTATTCTGATGCGATAAGCACATCTGTTCTGATGCCGTGAGCACAAAGGGAGACATAAGGGGCCTGGATCCTATGAGATTCAGTCAGTGTCAGGGAATTTAGCTATTAATTATATATCTGATATCTGTTTGTTCTGATCTGTTCCGTTCTGATCTGTTTCTGATTTGATATATGTCTGTTTTAGTTCCGATCTGATTTTGATTTGATATGTCCGTATCTGTTCTGATTTGATCTGTTTTGTTATGAACTATCCAATTATGATTTATGTACGAAGATTCTGATATCTGTCTGATTCTGTTTTGATTTCTGATTTGGATTTGGGTATGATGTGTTTGGTTTTGGATTCTGGAAGTTTTGATTGGAGGTTTGTTGCTTTGCTGAGCTGTTGAGCTCACTCTCGTTTTCTGGTGGTTTTCAGGTTCTGGGAAAGGGAAGGAAGTCCAGGACTAGAGTTCAGAGTCCGATCTGTGATAAGTACTTTTGTACTTTTGATTTTTGTACGATCATGGCTTTTCTTCTGTATTTCTTCTGTTAGCCATGTACCGTATTTGTAGATGATTGTTTTGAGGAAAAGAAAGAAAAATATACGGGATCCGTCCCGGATCGGGTCGGGTTGTGACATTTGTGTCTTACCGTCCTATCTTATGTGGCGAGCTAAGCTCACGATTTAGCATTCTGACTTTCTTTTCTGGTGAGCTAAGCTCATGAGTCGGGCTTGATCGTGCTATAACTTTGGCAAGCTGAGCTTGAGCTCACCATATGAGCTCGACCCAAGCTTGCCTTTGAGTTGATAAGCCAAACTCGATTTAGCCGCAACTCGAGGTTGACTGAACTTATTTACACCCCTAACTAACTCTAAATACTTCAAAATACTCATCCATGCTCATAAGTCGTAGCCACAACTATTGATTGATCAATTATCATTATCAACATCAACAACATTATCTATCATTCTACACTCCCGAAGTTGACATATCTGCAATGATACTCACAACTCTTCTCACTACATTAATGTCAAATCCTAATTTCAAGATGATACCATCTTCCACGTGAAATGAGAAGAAAGGGATAAGTTCAATTACTTACAATAAGTGGAGGAGAACATAGGGGAAGGGGAAGCGAAGAAAAAAAGAAGAATAAAAGAAAAGAAAAGACAGAGAGGAGAAGATACACAGGGGAACAAAAAAATTTTTTTTTCTTGATGAAAATACTCTATAACATAAATGATAAGAGAATACTCTCCTTGCTTACAATGTTGGCTATTTATGCTTGATAGTGATATTTCATTTGTTGATAGCACAATGTATATAAATCACTCGATTGAACCAACAAAAAAAAAATTTAGTGTCCCACTCTTCAATATTTGTTGCTTCTCCCTTTTCATTTCCGAATCTCATCGTTCGTATACCTCTTATCTTCTTATCAAATAACTAATGCAGGCGGTGCATTTTTGTCTCTATTTTTGAATAGTGAAATGTGTGCTCTTCATTGCTATGTTAGCTCAATGAATTTTATAGATCAGCACATGACTCCAACATCGCTAAGAACCGATTACAAATACTCTAACATTGGCTTTAGATTGGAAAAAAAAAAAAACATTAAGAAGATACCTCTAAATGACTTATAGAGGAGATTGTAATTAGCAAATTTAATGTCTTAAAAAAGGCATACTTTGCTCTTATTGTTATAGTAAAAACATTATAATTGCTTGGACTTACTATAAATTTTATTGTAAGAACAAAAATGATATAATACTTGTTATTGTGATTTGTTATAGATTGATTTATTATAGTTATCGTCTTCTTATAATTTTATGTCATGTTTGACGTGATATTCCTCTGTTGTGGCATAGTTTTTGGATTACCATGTTGTATCTATTTTATAAATTATTGTAGCATACATGTTATTATTGATCTTTGTTGTGTCATAATTTTTTGGATTACCATATTAATCTATTTTATAAATTGATTTATCATATATTTTGTGATATATGTATATCCTATAATAGTTCATGGATTACTTTGTTATATTTTTTAATAATCTATTGTCATTTTTGTATTGATTGCACTCTGATGCATCAACCTTATTATAACTAACGCAATACAATTTATTATATCCATCATTATTAGATTTTATTTGAATCATATTAGAATTCGCGTGGACTATTAGAGCTTTAATTGAACAAAAATTATATGCTTGTCAAATAGTATTTGGACCTTGTTTTTTATGATAGAATTTAAATAAAATGGTGGTATTTTGATATAAAATTAACATTTAATAATATTTTCTAAAAAAATGTATATTTTTCTAATTTTTATCATTTTTTATTTTACTCGCGTTAGTTCATAAAATTTGACAAATAATAATTGAAAATTTGAAATGTAATATTGGGCCTTTTCCTTTCGTCGTCCAGTTCGATCGCCTAATGATCTGGTCTCGTATTCCACACTCCTTTCACTCCTAACTCTGAGATCTTAAACTTGCGCCGCTCCGCCACGGCGCACTATAGCTCACTGTTATCTTCATTCTCTGCCCTTTTCATCGCTGCCGCCCACGAAGACATCGGGCATGGCCTTTCATGGCGGCAATTCCAATCAGTTTGATATGCAGAAGCTCTTCAAGCCCCCCAATCCCTTGCCTAATCCTAACCCTAACCCTAACCCTAACCCTAATCCTAACCTTAACGCTCCCTTCCTCCCTCCTACCTCTTACGCCGCTGGCGTTCCTCATATTCCCTATCAGACGGTGCAGCCTACTGGTGCCTTCAACTACGCGCCGTCCACTCCCCCTTTCCATCACCATCCCTTTATTCACTACCCGCAAGAAACCCGCCAACGTCCCGTCGTTTCCTATCCCGTCCAACCCTCTTACTCACCAGACCCTAATTCTAGGCCAAATAGCCCAGGACAGAATCCGGGCGCCCGACTCATGGCCCTCCTCGGAAACAACCCTCCGGCTCAGCTCGACTTTGCCGCATCGATGCCAGCGGCGTCTGCCCCGACGGAGCTCCCTGCGATGCATCATGCGGTGCCTTCTGCTCCGCCGGCTGTTATGGCGATTACCCAGGCGCAGCCGGCGAGGATACCGAGCACAAAGATGCCAAGGGGGAGGCCTCTTGGAGGAGGGGAACGAGCTGTTCACGATGTAGAGTCGAGGTTGCCGGGGGAGACGCAACTGCCGCAGCTCGAGGTCACGCCGATCACGAAGTATACGTCGGATCCGGGGTTGGTACTTGGAAGGCAGATCGCCGTCAACAAGACCTACATCTGTTATGGGCTTAAGCTTGGAGCGATCAGGGTTCTGAACATCAACACTGCACTAAGATCACTCCTCCGGGGGCATTCACAGGTTTGACCTTTTCTGTTTCAAACATTTGACTATAGCATGTCTTAGTTGGTGTTGATCTGGTAATTTTTTGGCATGTTATATTGATTTCAAGCTTGCTGTGATTTGTTCCTATTGAAGGAATGAGGACCCTGTTTGAATTTGGTATTGTTTATTGCCTCTTGTTGTACTTTGTTGCGTTTTTTTTTTTTTTGAATATTCACAATTCAATAACTTTTTGAGTGGGAAGTCTTTGGTGGATATGTTTGTGCCAATGTTCCAATGTTATAGGTTAATTTTAAATTACCAAGTATTTGTGGAGATGTGAAAGGATCCATGGCCTAGTGATTGGAGGAGAAGTATGTTTTTCGATGATCACGGATTCAAGCCTCATACTTTGCTATTTATTGTCCGCTATTAAAAAAGAAGTAATTTATAGAGCTTATTGCTTCCACAATTCAATCACTTTTTGAGTGGGAAGGCTTTGGTGGATATGTTGTGTGCCAATGTTCCAATGTTATATGTAACTTTTAATTTATCAAGTATTTGTGGAGTTGTGAAAGGATCCATGGCCTAGTGATTGTAGAAGTATGTTTTTCAATGATTATGGATTCAAGCCTCATACTTTGCTATTTATTGTCCGCTATTAAAAAAGAAGTAATTTATAGAGCTTACTGCTTGTAATAATAGAAGAACCCCCCCGCCCCCCATCCTTTTTTTTAATTTATTCGTTTTTTTTCAGCTCTTATGAAACATAACCCTTGAAAATATGCTTAACATTTCATGCAGATGGATATGTGCTGTAATTTGCATTGTTTTCTCCAGCATTGCTTGCACAAACTTAATAGCTTGGTGATATATTCTCTTATGTTGAATTTTTTTCCTTGTTTTGAGGTTTTGTTTGGTGTGGTTATTTCTTCACCACTAAAACCTCCTACCATGGGATGATTGCCATTTTAAGCGGGGCTACATGATGTTTATTTCAATTAGTTGTGCTCTTTTACTTCTTCATTATTTATTTATTATTGTTTTTTTATTTATTATTTATTTATTTATTATTATTATTATTATTATTTTGCTCTTTTACTTCTTCATGTCTACTAAACTTGGGGCGATTAGGTCTTTGCTGTCAATGATCAGTTGATTAACTTGACATTTCTGAAACTTTTTTGATAGAGAGTGACAGACATGGCTTTCTTTGCAGAAGAAGTGCACCTTTTAGCAAGGCATGCTTTTATCATTCATCCATGTTTTTGCTACATTTTTGTCACTTTTGTTTGCCAATTGGCTTATTTTATATTATGCAGTGCAAGTGTAGATGGGAAGGTTTTTGTATGGAAGATTGATGAAGGACCTGATCATGAAGACAAGCCTCAAATCACAGGAAAACTTGTTCTTGCTATTCACTTGATTGGAGACAGAGATTATCATCCAAGAATTTGTTGGCACTCACACAAACAAGTAATGGAAATCAAAACTTTCCATTGATTAACTTGATTAAAGTTTCTACATCAATGAATGCGTTATACAGTACCACACATCTGCTACATAGATGCATCGATTTAGTAGTGACACCATTTGTTGTAGAATGGTGTGAAGTGTGCTCTATATGATGCTGATATTTTCTATCTTTTGATTGAATTTTTTTCTTTTTTAGGAAATTTTGGTTGTTGGAATTGGAAACAATGTATTAAGAATTGATATCCCAAAAGTTGGGAGAGGTGTGGAATTTTCGGCAGATGAACCACTGAAATGTTCTCTTGAGCAACTCGTTGATGGGGTGCAATTGGTGGGAAGACATGCTGCAGAAGTTTCAGATTTGTCAATATCACAATGGATGACAACTCGCTTAGCTTCAGCATCAAATGATGGCACGGTTTGTATATGCACCTGATTAACTGTGATTTTTAGTTTCTTGCTTGATTTAGTTATGATGATCTAAATTGCTTCTGTTTATAACCACAAGTTTTTACAAACTAGTTTACTTGATCATCCACTTGTACTCAAAGTAATATTTACCAAATTAAATATTTTAAACTTCTATTTTTATTATTCTCTTATGTAAATGAATGATTAATGATTTACTTGATGCATCACTGAATACTGATTGTTAAGAGAAAATTGTTATTGTTGAAATCACCATGTTTATGCTGTATTGTTATGGCAACATGCACAAGAGGGAGTACTGACAGAAACATTGCCGATTGCTTGCACAAGGACTTATTTGAAGTTAAAATTACTTCCCCCATCTGCTATTATTGGCGATAATCATATTTTTTGCTTTTCTTACTTTTGTAAGATAACTATCAAGCACATTTTTTTTCCTTAATTCTATTTGTTTTTGTAGTTTTTTTTTATGCACTCATAACCCATAATGTTTTTTGGAAAAAAAGATGAGTTAAACAAGCATTTGAACTTTACTAATAATTCAGCATAATCACATATTATTCCCCCCTTACACTTCAACAAAACCTAATAAAACATAGCATACTTCTCCTTTCAACTAAGAAACCATGTAGTGAAGGCATCCACTTGTCATCAGACAAACCAAGAAAGTTAAAGATGGTTCCTAATGAGGAATTGGCACCCCCAAAGAGGAAAGCTTCTTTTGAAGACTGCTAAGATGCTTCTGTTGCCTGTTCCCCTCTTTTTCACTTGCATATTGATGCCACAGATCAACTTCACCAGGCATTTAAAGTCAAAAGCTCCCCATTTTTGTATCGGTATTACGTTATTTAACAGTAATGTTTGCAACAATATTTAATCTGGTCGGATCATATTTACATTAAGTTAAGGAATGGGCATATGAAAATTTCTTATTATGCAGCGAGAGAAATATTGATGTGTATATTGTTGGAATCATCGAAAGTGATGTGGGTCTCCGAAAGGATTCCGCTTGTGTGGTTCGAATGCAAAGGGTACGATCACACTATCCCGTAGGACAAAATGATCGTGGACCTTTACACTCGGCACAAGCAGGCCGATGGAAGAGCAGATGGAGTTATAGATACGATTAGCCATGGAGGATAGCGGCTTTCACCTACCAACCTCTGCTTTTGTTGTTGTACTAGACATTTAATGCTTGCTTATATTTTGATATTATAAGCTACAAGGCTACAAATGTTGTTGTCATTTTTTTTTGTGTAATTTCAAATATTATGCTTTCTTAATTTTAATGTATAATTTATAAATTATAATGCCGTGTCCGTGTCGTACCCGTATCCTGTATTTTTAAGAATTGACGTGTCCCGTATCCGTATCCGTGTCGCCGTATCCGTATCGGTGCAACATAGAATTAAAACATATTTTCAAATTAAATCACCTCATAGTTAGCCTTAAATAGGCTCCTCTAATTCCTTCTCAAATCAGCTCCTTTCCCTAAATGATTTCCTCTCAGATTTGAATTCAAATTAAATCTCTTTCCCTAATCAATTATTTCCCAATTATAGTTAAATTTTTTCTAAACAATTCCCCTTGATTCTTCCTTACATATGAATATTAACCCCCTAGCTTTCCCAAAATAATTTCCTCTTAGATTTGAATTCAAATTAGATTTCTTTCCCTAATTAATTCCCTTTTGATTGTAATTAAAACTTTCCTAAACAACCCCCTTCTCTTTTCTTGCCGGCTGCCCACCCTAGTGGGACCCACCGACTCAATCGTTGGTCCGTCAGAATTACATTAAATAAGGTATTACTTGATGTTCTGTTGGTCCTTTCCTGCTCTTGGGATGTAAAAGTTCATTCATTTTGAGATATATGGAATTCGTGTGTAAACTTGAGGTTACAGAGACACAGGAGAATGCATAATGCACTTCATTAATTTATGTGATTTTATGTTTACAGGAAAGAATGCATATAGTTTAATTTTGTACTATCACATTGGAAGATGTCAAAATCTTGTATCTGTCATATGGTGTAAGCTGCAATATTTCTGCGCTTGGAAGGCTACTCCTATACTCACTATTTTGGAATTGGGGGTATAAGTGGGTTATATATGGACCCCTTGTGTTTTTTTGTAGATTCTTTTATCCATTTTTTGCTAGTGAACTATGCTTCTTGGTTTATGGAATTTTTTTTACTCATGTTTTATGAGGTTGCTTGGGTTCAGCTTTTGTGCAATTGAAAACAAAGTGTTCCAAGTTCAAATGAGGTTTATATTTTTTTGATGGAAATCTTAGAATATTCTGCATTATTTTGGCTATGAAATGCTCTTATATGCTTAAAATTTTTTGGATACAAGCTTCCGAAAATAAAAGAAATGCTAATTTAAAAATGCTGGGAAATTGACCAAGCTGCCCATTAAGTATATTTAATGATGGTTATCATATAAAGGGCATTGTAGTCCATGAAATATTATGGCAGAAGTCCAAATTGTTTTGAAGATATAATTTTTTTTATGATAGACTTAAGTGGATGATTAACCAAAGTGGAATGCCTGAAAAATTAAAATTGTTATGAATTTATTGGAAATTGTGTAGGGGTTGTTTGATTTGTTGAAAAAAGATTGCAGAGTAAAATGAATGCAATATTTTTGAAATATTTTGGTGTTGTTTGCTAGTAAACTATGCTTTTTGGTTTATGGACAATTTTTACTCATGTTTTATGAGGTTGCTTGGGTTCATCTTTTGCGCAATTGAAAACAAAGTGTTCCAAGTTCAAATGAGGTTTATATTTTTTGATGGAAATCTTAGAACACCCTATATTATTTTGGCTATGAAATGCTCTTTTATGTTAAAAAATTTTCGATATAAGCTTCTGAAAATAAAAGAAAGACTTCCGAAAATAAAAGAAAGGCTAATTAAAAATGCTGGAAATCGACCAAGCTGCCCACTAAGTATATTTAATGATGCTTATCAAATAAAGGGCATTGTAGTCCATGAAATATTATGGTGGAAGGCCAAATTGTTTAGAAGATATAAAAAAATTATTATGAATAATTAAAGTGGATGAATAACCAAAGTGGAATATATGAAAAATTAAAAATGTTATAAATTTATTGGAAAATTTTTGTAGGGGTTGTTTGGTTCGTTGAAAAAGGAATGCAGAGTGAAACAAATGCAATATATTTAAAATGTTTTGGAGTTATTTAGATTAGTGAAATAAATACAATTGATTAATCATTTTTTTCTTATTTTTTAGCTTAAAATAAAATGAATGCAGTGTAAAGCCTAATGATGGTGGTGACCGGTCACATGGGTGGTGATATGTAACGATCAATAGCTGGCGACAGGGGAGGGCACTCACCGACAGTGGTGGTGAGCGGCGATGGAGGTCGGCGGGGGTGGTAGGAGTAGTGGCAATGGCGACAGTCAATGGTAGCGACGACTAGTGTTGGATGTGACTGATAGCAGGTGTTGGGGGTGGACAGTTGTGGCGAGGGGTAGCTATGGCGGCAATGATAGACAATTTAGTGTATTTGGAACTAGGTTAAATCTATCGATTTCCTCATGCATCAAAGTTGAACTAAAGGTTGAATTTCAAACACTTCAAAATTTTACTCTTCATTTCTTTTACTTCAAACTAAACACTAAATTTTCAAAATTTGCAATACTTTACCCTCCATTTAATTCAAACCAAATAGCATCTTAATAACTCATGAGTCATCATTAGCCTTGTCCAATCAATTTGTGGTCGGCTTAATGAGCCATCATTTCATATTCATTCTTGCTGAGTACAGTTTGAAGTGTTAAATTATTCTTCGCAAATATTTTGAACAACTTCTATTATATTTATTTAGGTTTATCCCTTCCTCCAATCTCTCTCGATATTAATTTTATTTATCCGTGTAATTTCAACTATTCGTTGATTTATGTTTGATTATAGGTGGCTATTTAATCTACTTGGGCTGACCGCAAGTCTATTCTTTCTTCTAAAGAGGAGAATGTAACTGCTAGCCATGACATTAACTTGTTTTATAGGGGCTTTTTGACACATTAGGGTGTTTGTTGGCCTATTTAACATTCTTAAATATTATAGATATTACCTCGTAGGGAAGTGGCATTGTACTATAAGCTCGTTTACCTTTGATTTAATGTAATTGAGCTTAATTTTTTTTTTTTTGACAAACCTTATTGTTTTTCTTTACCCATCTTACCTTTTTATTGAACTCTTCTTTTGATTTGGACCATGTATTAATACTTTGTGCTTTAATTTTTTGTTCTTTTCACAGGTAAAAATATGGGATGATCGTAAGACACTGCCCCTTCTAACATTGAGGCCACATGAAGGCCAACCTGTCCATTCGGTTTCATTCTTGACATCTCCCCAACGCCCTGATCACATTGTTCTTCTCACTTCGGTTTGAAAATTTGGCTTTTTCACTTCGGTCTTCTAATATTTTGTTTATTTTGTTAGTTTATTATTATGCCGTCATAAAATTAGCCTTACCCTGCATTTGCATCTCTTCAGTCATGGAAGAATAGTAAAGTGTTGTTACGGTTGTTGGTACAGGGTCCATTGAACCGTGAATTAAAGTTATGGTCTTCTGCAACTGAAGAGGGATGGTTGTTACCCAGTGATTCTGAATCATGGCGATGCAATCAAACTTTGGAATTGAGAAGTTCAACAGAACAACGGGTAGAGGAAGCGTTTTTTAATCAAGTTGTTGTTATGCCTCAAGAAAGCCTTATATTACTTGCAAATGCCAAGAAGAATGCAATATATGCTGTCCATATATATTATGGTCCGTACCCTGCAGCAACATGCATGGACTATATTGCCGACTTTACCGTTACAATGCCTATTTTGAGCCTCACTGGAACAAGTGACATCTTTCCTGATGGTGAACATGTGGTTCAAGTTTACTGCGTCCAAACACAGGCTATTCAACAATATGCCTTGAGTTTGGCACAGTGTATGCCACCTGTTGATAACCTTCTATTGGGCAAAGACCCTTGTATTTCACATATTTATGATGGAATTTGTTCAGAAGGGTTTTCTGCATCTGAGCTTTCTCGTGTTCCTAGTGATATTCCATCGGCCGGTGCTTCATCCATGCTTTTGGTTGGTGCAAGCAACTCTGAGAACCTGTTTGTCTATTCTCCAACTTTTGTATCTTCAGAAGCTAACAATATTCCTGAATTGCCTTCATCAAATATTGACATTCATCCTTCTGCTCCTCCACTTCCAGCTGTTGGCACTGATAATTTACACGCCACTTCATCTCCTGGTCCTTTAGATTTGGGCCTCTCGGGGAGACTTTCAGGTTCCAAAGGTGTATCTAAAGGTCTGGAACATGGACATTCACTTGGGGAGCTTGATGTTTACCAGGAAATTGCTGATCATCATGCTACAAACGGAGAACATGATGGTGCTGGAAACATGCCTAATATTTCTTTGATGAATGACAACTCTGCAGGGGATAACTTGAAAACTAGTCCGAATGATATTTCTATGATTCAGAATTCTCACTTAATGTTCAAGTTGGGTGGAAAAACTACTCACTTGGTGACTCCATTAGAAATTTTGTCAGGGGTCAAGCCTTCATCTGAAACCACTTCTTCCAATCAGAGGAGTGATGAAGTGAAGGTTCTAGATCTGATCTGCAACAGCGATTTGAGGCATGCAGAGGTAGTGAAAGTTGTGGATGAGAATGTAATGGATCAGACTGAAGAATTCATTACTCTGAAAGAGGAAAATAATGCTTCTAATGCGATTAAGGATCAACCTTCAAGTTCCCTAGCTTCAAATATCAAGAATGACGTGCCAAAAGATGGTGACGCACTTAACGGTCTTTATAATGTGAATGAAGTTCAGGTGGGTGATAATGTGATTTCTGCTGATGCAGTTGAGCAGTTTTCTGGTAATATTGAGGAAAATGTCTTGAAAAATACAACAGATCTTTCTCAAAGAGAAACTGGATTTGTTGATATTCCTGCTTCAAAAACTGCAAAAGGAAAGAGGCAAAAAACCAAGCAGGCTCAAGCATCAGGTTCATCATCACCATCTTCAAGCCCTGTCAACTCCATTGATTCTTCAAATGAACCACGGAGCAGCACGGTTGTACCTCCAACAGAGGCTTCTTTTTCCCAAATTATGTCTATCCAGGAGGTGTTGAACCAGGTACTTTTGTGATTTAATTTTATTCTTTTACAGACACAGGTGGCTGCTAATTATTTCTGAAACTCAATTTTTTTCTTAATACTTGTGCAAATTTTATTTGACTTGAAATCAAGTGCTTTGACTCGAGATGTTTAGCTTAAAGAAGTTTGACTCAATTTAAAATTGTCTTAATATATTAAATTGATGGCTACTATTGGATGCCGGCTAGAGTTTTGGTGATTGTCCTAGGGGTAGGGTCCATTTGATCCAAATATAAACTATTTTTGATGATAGGATGACTTTAATCTCCTTCATCCATTCCATACATGCATGAAATTTTATGTTGAATGTGACCAAATTAGCCTTTTGCAAGTATATATTGATGCAAATTTATCATATTTGAGTTACAATTATCGAAGCTTTCAAGAGAGTTTTGGACTGTCTTGCAGGTGTTGTCGCTAGTTGCTAATGCCTGTTGCGAGTTGTGTGACTTGTTGATGATTTCACTCAACTTTATGATGATGGCATACAATCACTCATTGTCGATCCTCGATGTGAATGATAGAAATTTGATTTTACCAAGTGAGTTGTGAGAACAACATTTGTAGGGTATGAAGAAAGAGAATTAAAGAAAATATTATATTTTACTTAAGAGGAGACAAAAAAGTAAAAATACACAGAAAAAAGATATACGTCCACGAGTATTGAGAGAGGGAAAATGCCTAGTATTTGAACAAATTAAGTATAAGCGAAAGATTCAGTTGTCCTAATAGAGCTTTACGTTTGGTGGAAGAGAAACAGAAGTAATAATGACAGCATCTGTCTCTCTGTATGAAATGGAATGAAGATGTGATGCAGGATTTAAAATGATTTCTTGAGGAATGCTTAGGAGTTTATGATCAAGTATGCATGTTAAAATCAGCAACTTGAGAATGATGTGGTGATGGGGCTTTTATAGCTAAACCTAGCACTTCAATTTATAGGCTATAATGATGACATACTAGTAATCTATAACAATGATGGCCGTCATATGATTTAGTGTATTGATGAGGTAGATGGTGATTCAAAATCTTGTTGAATATGAAAGAGCAGAAAATTTAGGTTTTTGACCAGACTAAGGTGATAACAACTTACTGCCGCATTGAGTGATCATAGCTTTATTATTTGGCATGGATAGTAGTGTACTAGTGTGTTATATTGAATATGTTTTACTGCTATCCAGATATGCTAGATTTTCAAGATTTGCCATAAATGCTTATTGGAACTTCTGCAAGAAGCGTGCTGGGTAAGACCTCATGTGTAATAATTATATAATCCTTAAATTTTGACTCATTGTCATCTTTTAAACATTCTTTAATTATAATATTTTTTTAAACTCCCCATATTAATTACATTGGATTCAATATAATATAAAAAAGCAACATATTAATAACACAATAAAGTAATTCTATATATTTAAATCACCATTTGATTTTTTTTAAGCTTGAACTCTACTTTCCTAATTTCTTTAAATTGCTTGTGAAGTAGAGGTAATTATCAATTTAGTAATCATTTTAATATTAACATTGATATTTTCATTTTTCTCATTGTCAAACGTATTTCTCCATTTTCAATTTTAAATATTTTAATATTTTTTGCTATTATCCATTCATCATTAGAAAATATATCATTAACAACCAAATGGTTTATTTTATTAGCATCAGTTATTCGCCTCTATAATTTGAAGTGTTTATCTTTCAAATTTTATTAAACAATACACAACAATTCTGATGTGATGCAAAGTGAGTTACACAATGATTATAAAGAAAATTAAATTTCAGCTTTACAAATTACTCAATCTTGCATCAAAGTTAAGTCAATTATAAGTTTCGAACTATAGCTAATTGGTTCCTTTGTATAATAGAATAAAGTATATATTATTATTAATAATAATATATAATAAAAAATTAGAAAACTTAACTACAATGAAGTGCTGCCTCGAAACACCTCAAGGCGTGCACCTCATTTAAAAAAGGTGTATGTCTTATGCCTCAGTTCTAGGAGCACTTCGAGGCGTGCCCCTCGAACAATTTTTTAAATCATATTCCTGGTTGATGATATTCTTGTTGATAATACTAGAGTGGGAGTTGAAGGAAAACTTGAATTCAGAGTCTAAATGTTTTCGATCTAAAACCAAATATATTGAATGCAATTTTAGTAGTAATGATCTAGTAGAGGGATTGTGATTTTTTGGCGATCAAGTCATTAAGAAAGATAGAGGTAGACCTAAAATGACTTGGTTGGAAAGTATTAGAAATGACATTTTTTTAGTAGATTTGAATAAGCATTTGACTCTTAATAGGACATAATGGAAAAAAATGGATTCATTTACCTGACCCCAAGTAGTGGGATAAAGGCTTTATATTGTTGTTGTATGAGTTTTAGAATTTGTTTAATTAATTGCATATCGTGTTGTGGTGTTAGATATATCTATTTGGTTCATCTCAGCCTATTTTGTAATACAATTATCATCATCATCACCAAAATATTTGAGAAGAATCCTACCAATTTAGCATTTGCAAATGTAATTCTGGTACCATAGTCATGCGGTGCTTTGAGTTTAACATCAATTAGCTTCTTTGTGACAAGTTGACATGTGAAGGTCACGAATTTTAAATCTTTATTCATTAATTCTTCCATCTTTTATCATTTTAAAAATTTTAAATTATTTATTGCAGATTTTGTCTATGCAAAAGGAGATGAATAAGCAGATCAGCACAGCAGTGAGTGGCCCAGTCACAAAAGAAGGGAGAAGAGTTGAAATTGCTTTGGGCCGGAGCATGGAAAAAAGTGTTAAGGCTAATATCGATGCCTTGTGGGCTCGTTTTCTTGAAGAAAATGCAAGACGTGAGAAGACTGAAAGGGATCATTTGCAGCATATATCAAGTTTAATCACAAATTTTATCAACAAGGACTTACCTGCTGCTTTGGAGAGGATGCTAAAGAAGGAGATACCTTCCATAGGGACAGCAATAACTCGTTCAATTACCCCTGTAATTGAAAAAACTATTTCTTCAACTATAGTTGATTCGTTCCAGGTTCTACTTGTCACATACTCTCCTTTTAACTTCTAGTTTAGTTCTGATCATTAATTTCTGGTCGGTCTTCCTGTTCTTAGAGAGGTGTGGGTGACAAGGCAGTGAACCAGCTGGAAAAATCAGTTAATTCTAAACTTGAAGCGACAATAACAAGGCAAATTCAAGCACAGTTCCAGACAGCAGGCAGACAAGCCCTTCAGGTTTGAAAAGTTATGCGAAAAGAATATTATGTTTTGAGTGTTTTTTCCCTGAGGTTTGTAAATTAATTGTGTTCTAAGCATAATGTCCATTACTAGAATGCACTGAGTAGATTTTCTTAATTATAAGTTGGTGCTACAATAATTAAATTGGCAATTGTATTCATGTAGGATGCTCTACGGTCCAGCTTGGAATCCTCCTTAATTCCTGCATTTGAGCAGTCATGTAGATCCATGTTCGAGCAAGTAGATGCCACCTTTCACAAGGGCATGAGTGAACATAATGCTGCTGCACTGCAGCAGTTTGAATCCACACATACGCCATTGGCACTTTCTTTGAGGGTAAGTACTTTTTTCTTATGTTCTATGTGCTGGAAGCACATTTCACAATTTTTAGTACATTTCATAGTCTGAAAAGATTATGAAAATTGTGCTTTTCTTTTCAGTTCTTTAAAAGTTAATAGGTATTAGCGTTTAGCATAGAAATTTTCATTCTTTAAATATTGTTAACTAGTTCTTGCTTTGGTCTTTTGCTTGTGGTCACATTGGGATTATATGCATTGTGAAGCTTTTTTAAGAAAAATGTGAAATGGATGAACTTGTTCTGAAGTATGAACAAGTAAATACACCGCTAGGTGTTAGGTGCTATGGGAAATGATGTAATTGGTAGTATCATGATGAGAATCTTCTTGTCAAGATTATATAATGTGGGGCCCCTTTAATTTGTTGCGGGGGGCCTTGGTAATCACAGTAATGATAAGCAGTAAAAGAACTTTTATTAACTGCAAAATTACTTGAGATTGGTGAAAGTATAATAAAAGCGTTTGATTGCAAACTGTGTTACATTATACTTACATCCACGATGAGATTGAGCTTATTTAGCCTCATACTGTTAAATTTTTCCATCCATTGCTTCAAAACTAATTTGTTCTGTTAATACTCTGTATTTTGAATTGACAGGAAGCAATTAATTCCGCTTCATCTGTTGCCCAAAACTTAACAAGCGAGTTAGCTGATGGGCAGCGCAAGCTCTTAGCTCTTGCTTCAGGAAATGCCAAATCCTTAAATCCTATGGTAATGCAACAAAGCAACAGTTCTATGGTCAATCTCCCTGAAATGGTACATAATATTCACTTACAATTCTTGGTTTCAGTTGAAACCTTCATTCCTTCATATTCTTGATATTTTTGCTAAACTGAGTGATATTTATATATACAATTGTTTCTAGCTGGCCCTCTCCGTTCAGCAAGTTGAGGCACCTCTTGATCCTACAAAAGAACTATCAAGATTGATTTCTGAATTCAAATATGATGAAGCATTCACTGTAGCTCTTCAAAGGAGTGATGTTTCCATTGTGTCCTGGCTATGCTCTCAAGTCTGTATTTTGAATTCTTTATCTAAGATTAAGCTCAGAAAAACTTAAATGATCCTTAGCTCCATTTCTTGAATGATCCTTGCTTTTCTACAGGTTGATTTGCATGGAATATGTTCTATGGTGCCACTTCCTCTAAACCAAGGTGTCCTCCTTGCACTTCTGCAACAGCTGACTTGTGATATTGGCAATGATACTTCAAGGAAGCTGGCATGGATGACTGATGTAGCTGCAGCTATCAATCCGGCAGACCCGATTATCGCATTGCACGTACGGCCCATATTCGAGCAGGTTTATAACATGCTAGCACACCAGAGAACCCTAGCTTCCATGACCACAGCCGAAGCTTCGAGCATTCGGCTAATAATGCATGTAATAAACTCTGTGCTATTGAGCTGTAAATGAACTCCATTTATCCTCATTTGCAAAGATCATGGGGACTGTTTGTCTGTAGGAACTATTTTGTATATAGAAATGTAGAAATGAATGGTAGGAATCAGATCCTAGCTTTACTCTGGTAGTTTATGTTAGCAGTTTGTGCTCTGTCATTTTGATTTCAAACGGTATTTATCAAGGAATTTGATGTTGAAGTCCTGGTGAAGAGATTTTGGGCGTGTTGCTCTGAGACCTGTATCAGTTTTAAGGCTTATTTGAAAGAAAATATATTTTGAAAGTTGATTAATTGTTGAGATTTTTTTATTTGATTTTTTGTTGATTTGGAATTTATATGCATTCTTTAAAATTACAAATACCATTACAATTTGTTGATATCAAGCGTATAGATATTATTCATGTATAGATTTTTTCGAGTTTCTTAAAATTAAGGGGTTGTTTTGGCAAAAGTAGTTGTAGGGAAATTAATTTTTAAAAAAAAACAGTTTCGTAGTATATAAATTTCTTGAAAGCAGTGGCCTAATGAAAAGTATAGTTGTGATTTTAAACTCATAGTAGTAAGAAAGTTGTCTCAAAGAGATCTTAAACTCAAGCGATTGCTTAATAAATATTAGATTCAACTAAATCAATCTATGAATCATATTATATGATATAGATTATATAGTATGATCATACAACATGATTAGATAATAATTTAAATTATCTTAATGGATGTTTATCTTAAAATTTGAAAGGCTAATTAGTAGCATGTAATACTAATGCACATGCTAACAAAGAATAATTCAGATGGCTATTTCATAGCCAAAGATAGAACAAAGAGAATTTAGGTGTATTGTAGCATCACCAATTTTATTTGGTCCAGTGAACGTACGTAGAGCTACGTTCGGCCGGCACTAAGATCGTGGGCACAAAACGAGAAATACGTAGCAAATACCGAGCAATACCAACAATACCATTATGTGAAGACAAAATACTGAGTAATACCGATTAATCCCAAAAAATACCGAGTTTTTTCTAGAAAAACTCTGTATGTTTTGGGATTATTCGGTATTGCTCGGTATTGGTCATCACAGAGAGGTATTCATCGTTATCACCAAACAATACCTAGCAATACCGATCAAATACCGAGCAAAAACCGAGTAACAATCCTCTGACCGAACATAGAGCTACGTCCGGTAAGAGGACGTAATAAAAGTTCCTTCGAGAGAGGCCACTCGAATTGAAAAATAAGAAATAAAATAAGCACACCTTGATTTGTCATTCTCTACAAGACATGTAATAGAAAAAAATAATCATATTTTTGTCAATGATTTTTTTTCGTTGATAATATCATCATTGAAAAAATATCCATCATACATCAATATTTCAGACAAAATTTTCACTGTTTTTTTTTTACTAGTTTTCATGCATTTATTGCCATCTAATACAGCAAGCTCCAACAAGAATATGTTATTTTATTTGCTAGTCTTGAATTGTTATTGTGGAAGCTTAAAAAAAAACACCTTTCACACGCTCATCTATGAATTATTAATCAATTAAATCAAAGAAATATTCAATATTGAAAAAACCTTCAACAAATCATAGAGTTCTACTTATTCAAAATTTGAATTTGAATCAGTCAAATCAATTCAATCTAATTTGATCCAATGATAACGATCATTAAATACAATATATATAAAATTCTAGTGGATTAATCATTATTAGATTCAATCAAATCAATTTATGAATTCGATATAGATTATGTAGTATGATCATAATTCATTTCAAATTAAATTATTTGAACTGCACAATTATGATCATATAATCTGATTTAATATTTCTAAAAATTAATTTAAAATTATATTAATTAGTAACATGTGATATATATATCATCTTAAATAATATACTCTATATCATAGCATGGCAAAGTGAGATATAAAATAATTAGAAAAACCAAGATTAAAAGCTTGGAGTTTTTAGTAATTTGGTGCTGCCTTTAAGAAAACAAAATCACTCGATCATTTTCATTTATTTCTTCTTCCCTGTTTTAGCATTCTATAATAATCATCATACATTACATTGAAATTATCCTTCATAATCATAGGCATATATAAGCATCACAATTGCCATTATTCTCTCTCTCTCTCTCTCAAACTGGCAGAACGACCAACTTAAACGCGTATGTACTACTTAGGCTTCATTAGCTTCCTTCCCTTCCCCGGTCTTCTTCTTTAGGTCCGGTCATCGGACCTAAATCTGCATTCAGAATTCTGCGCTTTTACTATGCTTTTGATGTATTTCTGTGCATATTAGCTGTCATTTTGCTGCTCTTTTACTAAGTATTTGAAAAGAGCAGTAAAAGGACACTAAATACTCAATGAGTGAGATATTTGTTGCGCTTTGCTTTATTTTTTACAAATACGCAACAAAAAAGTAGCTAATATGCAGTAAAAGCGCATATTAGCTGTCCTTTTACAAAAATATATCAAAAGCGCAATAAAAGCGCATGAAAAGCGCACGGGTTCCGGACGCAGATTTAGGTCCGGTGACCGGACTTAATAATTCGCCCTAATTAACGAACAACCTTGTTGCCGTTCACCCAAATAGCGTTATTTTGACCGTCATAGATGGCAACTTGATTCGTGACTAGAAGATAATAATCATTAGTGGGGTTTGGCTGATATGTGTTACTGGCCCAGACAACTTTCCCATTAGGGTCGGTGCCTTTATGCATGACTAAATTTCCATCAGACTGCATCGTTAGGGTGCAGAAAAGACCCTCTCCCTCAGCCTTCCATATCTTCGTATCTCCATTTTCAAAGAAGAGAAAACAATATTTGCGAAATAACAGTACGTATTGACCATATGAGAGGGATTCAAAAGCATGCAAAGATTCTCCAGTATTCAGACGGTTTTTAGCTGAGGAAAGAGTGGAAAGATAGCTCGTCATTAAGCTTAGCGTTAAGAGGAGGAGGATTGTAGCTGAGGAGCTCGAGGAGAAGAAGGAGGCCATGGCAATGCTTGGTGTTTTCTTTGGTAAGCTTGCATGCCAAAGAAAACACCTTTCTGCATCTATTTATATAAATAAGCTTGCATGTTAGAAGACGAAGATGAAAGAAAATGTACTCTTTGTTATTGAATCAAGCCGTATTGCATTTTTTTTCTTTCTTTTTGATAAAAACGAGGTTTTGAAATGATAAACCTACAAACGTAAATTGTCTTCTAGCTGGAAGAAATGGTTTTCAGTTCGGTAAAAGGCCAAATAAATGTCTTAGAATTTCATAACAGTTTATTTTAGTTTATGTCAATTCATTGTAAATATTACAGCAATTACTCTAAGATTTTAAAAAATTATTTTCCGGTTTCTTCGACTTCTCAAGAAATTAGATTATTAAAAATAATTTATTATTTGATAATAAATTATTTTCAATAATATGATTTCTTCAGAAATCAAAAAATCATTTTCCGGTTTTTTTGGAAACCAAAAAATTATTTTCCTGTTTCACCAAATCGTGATTTAATTATCTGATTTCTTAAAACACTTAAATTGAAATTCCAATTTTGTTCCTTTTTAAATTATTGTCTGATTCTGCTCCTATAACTAATTTTAATTATATATTAATCTGCTCATTTTTAAAATTTTACTTTTAAGTATATATATCGGAGTTATTTGTGACTCATTTTTGCAATATAGAAAAAGAATTATTTTACAAATTTTAAAAATAAATAGCGGCCCACAATTGAACCTTACTAAATTTCTCCTAAATATCATTATTAGGTTATATATATACACACATTTAGAAAATAAAAAAATAATAATTTGATGATGTTAATATAGGACACTTAAAATAGTAAAAATGCCGTTCCAAATAAAGACACGATGTGAGCAAAAGAAGGAACCCAAAATATTTAGCCTACATCCAATTATCCAAGAAATAAAACAAAGAATAGTATGAATATAGATTTTGACATGTTTTTAACTTTTTATAATAGAATAGACAAACACTATAGTAGATATCAAAGAAATAAAAAGAAAACGTCAAATTACAAGAAGCTATTAAACCCAATCAACGGTGACATTCCCAATAAGAGTTGTTGTTGGCCATCATCATAAGAAGTGTTGCGTGCTTCAACGATCACGATGGTAGACTTGGGATGCTTCTAGCGAGTGTCTAAGACAATCTGTCAACTGAGCATGACTGATTACCCTATTAGAACATTTATTGGCAAGTGCTAGGGGTGTCAATTTCGGGTCATGGGTCGGGTTCGGGTTGAACCTAAAACTGATCCCGCACTATTCTGGTCAACCCGGACCTGACCCATTTTTGCAAACGAGTCGGATTTCCGGATCCGAACCTGAGCCGCTTTTGATTTGGGTCAACCCAACACAACCCGAATGACCTGTTGCCAACAAAAAACTGCAAACAGGTCAATCTCCACTTACGGGTAAAAAACAGGTCAATCTCGAATTACCGGGTCAAAAACAAGTTTTCAGGTAAAATACTTAAGTCAATTTCGGGTCAAAGGGTCAACCCGAACCCGACTCAATTTTTGAAACATGTCAAATTGTTGAACCCAAATCTAAACCGTTTCAGTTTCGAGTTAACTGTAACACAAAATTTTCAAGTCGGATTCGAGTCAAATTTTCAGGTAAAATACCTAATGCATCACTTCCCCAAACGCTAAATTTATGATTGCATCAAGCACATTATTAATAAAACAACAACAATAAACTTTTATCCCACTGCATGAGATCAACTTTTAATCTTCTTTTTCTATTATATCTTTTTAGAAGTCAAATTCTCATTTAAATAATTAAAGAAATGTCATTTCTCACATTTTCTAACCAAATCTTTTTAAGTCTACCTCTACTTTTCTTAACATAAATCAAATCTAATATATCAACCATCTTAACCAGGCCATCGGGAGGTCGCAGTTTTATGTGACAAACCATCAAGCACATTCTTGATGTTGGGAAAATTTTTTGATTTATTTTATTATATTTTAATGTTTGCTTAGCTAAATTAAATATAATATCAAGAATTTTAAACGGTCCATATCTACAAGAAACCCATAATGCAATACGAACATTTCAAACTAATTGCTTACAATACTGAAAACCAGCAGAAACAAAAACCAAACAAGTGAGACAGTTTTTTGCGAAGAATAGCATTGGATGCATAAAATTACGCTAGAGATAATATACAAATGCCCTCTGCTGAATCTATTACTTCGTACGATGGGATAATTCAAATCCTGAGCTTCTTCCCAGGCTGTACATCATCATCATCAGCAAAGTGTTTGGCATCCTCAGGCCCCTCTTCTGCCTTCTTCCGAGCAAGGATTTTGTTGATTTTGTGCAGCTCGTTATTGAGCTTCTGATCCTTGTTTTGCTTCCTTGTCTTCCTTCCATCCTGCATCTTCACTCCGAATTGGAAGGCAGCCTTAGGCATGGCTTCCTTCTGCTCATTGTACTTAGCCCATTCCTCTTCTGTCTCAAAATCCCATCGATGAAGACGCCCCTTGGCCTATAATATACACCAATCTATATTAAAAATACATGATAGCATATATTTACTGAACAGAATTTGTTTCTTTCTACAATATCATTGTTGATTGCAGGTTCATGCCTCTTACTGCCCTCTAGCTATTTGACACTACAAATGAAATATATATATATATATATATATATATATATATATATAAATTTCAGCAGATCAGACATAATAATAATATAATGTCGTCAACATGGTTCTATTAGCCCTACATTGAGTAATCGGTTGGCACAAGGTGATGAAGAAGATTACGAGCAATGGAACGTAGAAAACAGGAAATTCTCAGTTTGCTCTATTGGACCTACGAGAAATTATTCTGTGCAAACGTCGAACACCGTCCGGAGACCAATCAGAATGAGCCACGTCGGTACCGCGACTCGGTACCGTGCTCGGTATTGCTAACGTGGCTCATTCTGATTGATCTCCGGATATAAATTTGCGTACGACGTGACGTCTGCACATAATAACTTCTAATGAGTAATCGGTGATATTGCTGATACAACTATAATTTAGAAATAATGAATAATCTTACCCGGCCACCCATGTCCATTTTTGATAAGTCATCTTCATCATCACTATCGACAACCTCACGGTGGTATTCCTGATATCCAGGATAGCACTCAGAGTAACTTTCGGATATAAAATTAGGGTCTTTTTCTCGAGCATCCTTCTCTCTAAGCTGTTGAAGCCTCTGGTCATCACGCTTGAAAACAGAACCCAGGCCTCGGTCCTTATCTTCCTGGGTCATAAAACGAGGATCCTGTGGTAGTAATTGGGCTCCTGCAAGTGCATCATATTCTTGACCATTCTGCTGAAGATAATGTTCAGAATAAGCCAGTTGCTCAGCATACTGATAGTTCTGCCAATCTTCTGGATAATTCGCAGCAACCATTGGAGCCTGCATGACATCATATCCATTCTAGAAAAGGGAAACGTATCAAAACAGTGGCCAATATAATAAAACAAAAATTAAAATGTGAAAAGAAGTAAACCCAAAACTGCCCTAGTTGGGTGATAAAAGGAACCTAAAAAAAAAGTTAAATGTATAAATTAACACCGACAAGTATCACAAGCAATCTACTGAATGTAGGCTTCGTTCGGGACGGCTTTCTTTCTACTTCTTAAATCAGCTTTTTAGAACAAAATTTTTTAATTTTGTATTAGAAAATTTCTTTAAGAAGCAGTAAGAAAGCCGTCTCAAACGAACCCGTGGTTTCAATAGTCATAAATGTAGCAGTGAAAACTAGAACAGTTCATAATAATAAAAAAGAACTATCAATAAAGTAATTTCCAAAAATTTTCAAATGCCAAAGTTAAAGAAAAGAAAATGTAAAAGGATACCCGGCTACTGGCATAGACACACATCAAGTTCCAAATAAGTTTTAACACAATGCGCAGTTGAACACACCATTTGTTGCCAAGCTTGAGCAGGTTCAGAAGGTGGGACAGGACCATATACAGGCTCATTAAAATAAGGTTGCCTCTCCCGGTTCCGCGGGGACTCCTCCATGTCCTCTGACACAGGGCTCTGGCTAGTGTCTTTGCTGGGAATAGTATAGTCAATGCCATCCCCAACAAATATGTCATCCACCTCTACTCTTGCAACAATAGGGGGTTGCTTTTCCTTTGCATCAGCATGGCGAGGAGGAGGGGGAGGAAGGGTTTCCTTTACAGGATGGTGCTTTGAGACCGCACCATTAGATTGGATAGGTTTCTCATCTCCTGCATGTCATTGTCAAGAGAGAATTTTCCCGTTACTACAATTATTTACCTCTAGTATAAAAAACTAAAAATATTGAAATAAATTAAAATAAACTAAATAATAATGGAAAAAAAAATTAAAACTGTACCCCGTGCTCTTTTCATCAAGAGCATATATGATTGGAGAATGTTGATTTCCATATAAACTACGCTCAAAGCAAACTATCTGTTTTTAGACACCAATGGAACTGCAGTTGATTGGTAAATACCAACCGAGTACCCACTTTTTGCCACATCACGATAGATAATTTATAGAGTACTGATAAACGCAGACAATTTATATGAAAAAGAAACGATAAAGTATAAAAAAATTATAGAAAAAAAATATTCGCATTAATGGAAGTGCGGACTCCTCTTAGAAACAGGGCGAAGTTTGCTCTACATTTGGAAGGATCAGAAGGGTGATTTTAAGAATAGACAAATAATACACATGACAGCAAAATATAAATTCTATAATGAATGTGTGTACTTTCATCTCATTTCAATAAGTTGAACAAAGAAGTCGACAGAAAAAAACAAGAAGCATTTTCTCTTCTGCTCTTATCAGTTATAAAAACACAGTTCAAAGGAACAAATAAATCCGAGTCTTTGATTGACTAGGAAATTCTGAGAAGGTTTCTTAAGACGCTTATAGATTTCCTTGATAAGCTTTTCTTACGTCTTCACCAAACTATGAGGAGCATCTTCTAGAAATGAAGCATTGACAAATCAAAAAGGTTTCATCAGTGAATGACCAAACATTTATCATTATTTATTAGATACTTTCTCACAAAGTTTCATCCATAAAAATCTGAAATGTTAAAGGTTTAAGTTTAATATATATATATATATATATATATATATATATATATATTGTAATAATGTTTTATACATGGTGAAAGGAAACTATCGGAATTAAAGCAATTAATAGACATATAAAAGAGATAGCACAGGTCATTTTGGATGATTAGATCCACTACAAAATTTCATGAGACTGGGTTAAGTTTTCTGCCTGATTCACTTGTTGGATTCGGGTCTGATGTATTCTTATCAGCCATGCCAATCCTTATAAATAAAAATAAAATAAAATAAAATGAAACTCACTTTTCCTAAACATAAAGTTGGCAAACACCACCTTTTTCAAAAACAGGTCAGCCCAAGTTTTCCCCATAAAAAAGAAAAAAAGCCAGGCTGAGGAAGAATTGCTGAAGGTGGGGAAAGAAAAAATTAAAATGTTATCAGTAAAAAGTTGATCTAAATAAAATAAATATAATTGGGTAGTAATTTTAAATTTACAAACTAGAAATATTTCACATTTGGTAATTAATTGGCATGTAATTATTACTACATTGATCAATATTTAAAAAAAATGATATTAAACTTTCGTTACCCATGCCCTTAATTTATGTATAAAACTGGATTAAGAGATAAACAGCTAAACAAAATATTGCACAAAGTTATCACCACACAATTTTATCAAACATGATTATAGATTTTCTTATAGCAACTTTTCAACACGCATTTCATAGAGTAACTTTTCAAAAAAAAAATTCTATATGTGCAGCATTACCAATCAGAGCTTTAACAATGACAAAGTGGCATATCTATATTAGTTTCCAAAATCTCCCTATACTTTAGCATTGTTTGGCCAGTTGGCTTAGGTATTCATTAATAAGCCTTGAGATTTAGGGAATCAAATTAGGGATAAAAGTTTTTACCCTTGATAACCTTTTTTTCTATTTAAAATAATTATAAGTGCAGCCTAATATAATGCGTCAAGCCAATTAGCTAATTGTTACTTCCAATGTCTCATAAAGAATAAATTTTGAACACTTCCAAAACCTCACATTCTCAAGTATTTTGGGTTCACATGAGAAACACAGACCTTTCATTTCCTTATCTTTTTTCTTTTTCTTCAGAACCTTCCCTGACGAACCAAGACGGAGATATGACATGATTTTAGAAATTCGCTCAAGGACAGAACTATCCACACTAACAGTAACCATTTCCTGCATAATCATCTCATAAATCAAATTGAGTAAGTTTCTAGCATGAATGTGATACCACGGAATAATGGGAAACATACAAACCTCAGGAACTGGACAGTCAGCTTTACTTCTGTGCAGAGTAGTAGGTATATCATGAAAGTTATCTTCCTGTTATAAAATTACTTCGTTCAAGAAAATTTATAAAATTAAGAAATGAAATATCATCATCACCATCATCATAATAAGTAATACAAGCGCAAAGAGTCAATTTACGGGAAAATAAAACCATAGCATTGCAGATTTAGTAGATATTAATGAAAAGTCGTGAATGAAAAATTAAACCTTGGCAATGGAAACCATAAGAAAGCGAAGGCTGCATATCCTGCAGCCTAAAAATAACTTATTCATATACGATTATATACAATTAAACACCCATAAAAATTCTTTCGGTAAGTTTTTCGCATTTTCTTATGGCTATTGTACAATTCAAGGTTGTTAAAAACAGCGGAGATTTTGCAAGAGCCATGGAGATTGTAGGTAATGAATCTCATGTATTTTTTCAAATTCAGGTACATCTAACTTATTTCTTGCAAATTCTTTTTTCCTGCAACTTCGGTTTAGCTTATATATTTTCTTTTCTTTATGGGACGCTCATCTTTGAACACTAAGTTATAAGTTATAAGGCCGTGAGTGATTCAAAAGCAAGCTAGTATAATACTATAATTCCACTTCCTTCATATTTATCTCGTCAAAGAGGTACTTTTCTTTCTAGCAGGCTCAAAATATTTAAACCCTTTGGTCGACATTTGACACAAGCAATTTAGGCCATACTCATGAGTCCAGGAGAGAAATATGTTCTTCAATTACAGCTTGCAAAGACTACACTTGAGCCTCTGGATACATTTCCAAATGGTACATACAAATCCTCAATTCAATTATGGATTTAGAGCCAAGAGATTGAACGTCAAAATAGCTTCAGACTTAGAAATCCTCCAATGGTTAGCACACTTTCACATTTTTCCTATACTGACAATCTTTCTCCTTTAAACGACCAAACTATAAAAAATTATCAGGATTTACAGTTTCCTGAGCATATTGTCTTTGATACCTACACGGCCCCATACTTCAGATTGGTGAATAATAATCACATTAATGCAGTAATTTAAGCATAAAAAGCAAAGAAAGATGATGGCTTAAAAATGACACTTTTAACCATAGTTGATTGCATAATTGAAATGCACCCAACAAATATTTCATATGAGCACGGCCCATGTGAGTAAACCACTAATATCAACCTATTATATAGGTCTCTTTGAGTAATTGATAAAGTAAAAAACACTTTAAATATTTAGAAAATGTGTAAATATCATGCAAGTCCCTCATATTTGGGTCAAGCTTTACATAGGTCATCGAATAATGACCTAAATAGGCCTGTCAATGAGTCAAATTAAGTCAATAACTATGTCATTCAAACTCAATTATTTATATTCTTGTTGAGCTTGAGCTAATTTGAAAATGACCCGAGTTTTAAAAATTTTTTCAAGTAAGGTCATAATTGAGCCTAAATAACTCTATGTAGGACATATTTGTCAATGACGAATGGAACACAAGGGTGCAAATTCTCACAGAGCCATAGCGCATGATGTCGTACACGTCATTTTAAATATAGTGCACAATGTTTAATAATAATAAATAAATATATGTATTAATATGAAGTATTATTAAATTTAAAGATAAATCATCATCATAATAAAAAACAACCAAAGTGATGTTTAAGTTCAAGTAATCACCACAACCACTCAACATTCAAAATACACTAAAAGCCTTGAGGATGAACTAAAATTATAAAAGTCATAAAAGATAGATTGGGGATGAATTAAGCTACAATACACTAAAAACCTTGCATAAAGTTATATCCATATTTTTGAATATTGATGCATATTATAACATAATTTTAGGATCACAACAAAATAGAATTGAAGCCCCTAAATAGGAATGATTAGCTTCTCCTTCGAAGCTTATCAAACATAAGACATAAGAATCTTGCATGTTTAAATATGATCTAATTTAAAATTTATGAGACATCAGCATCTTTTGATATGTATTATATCTAGAAGATGACTTGCAATACAATAAGAATCTTCGTGAAATCTTGTTGAATTGGAAACCATACCTACATTGGAATGCATTCAATAGCCTTAGTAAAAAATTGAGCAAAAGTCAAAATCCGAATTTGAAATTGAATTTGAGCATTAGATTAATTATGAATCTAAACCTTCATAAGAAATTGAGATTGAAACTAAAACTAAACCTAAAATCATATTTGAAACTACAAAAAGAGTCTTAACTTGATATTAATAGAGACTGAACCTACTCTTGAAAATGAAACTGCTCTTCTAACAAAAATAGAATTCATAGCTGAATGTTATCCTTAACCAACCATGTCTACTAAGATTGATAAACCAATAAAAAAATCAGATGATTTTAATTCATGAAATTTCAAACAAAATTATCACAAGAAGTTAATCTAGGATTCAATTTATTTTTGGATTTTGATTTCTCACTCACAAATTCATAATAAAACATACCAAGAAAGTGAAAATGTGTCAACATTTCAATATTTATTTTTATAATTACTACTTTAGAAGAAATATGAACTCCAAATATCTGGTCAAATCTAAAAATACCCAATTGATTACAATTGTTCTTCAAGTTAAAAATATTGTTCGTCCATATAGGCAACTAATATTTATGTGATTTATTTGCTTTCAAATTTCTTTATAATCTCATCTAAGGGTGTAAGTGAGTCGAGCTAGTTTGAACTCGACTCGATAATAAGTTCACGAGCTGAGCTTATCGAGCCGCAAGCTAGAGTTTGAGCTTAAACTTGAGCTCATCACTTAAACAAGCTCGAGTTCAAGCTTGATAAGACTTGACTCATGAGCTCGCAAGCTGGCTCGAATGATAATTGTGAGATATATATATATATAAAATTGTTATTTTCACTAAATTTGAATGTTTACAAAAAAAAAAAAACATTAGTGACTAAAGCTGCAACCTAATAAAAGCTACAGCAACAATAATCATTAAAGCTTCAAGTTATAGTAGCTTTCCATAAAAAATAATATATAAAAATTTGAGGCCATATTTCCAATGTAAAGAGGCTTCAGCTTTCATTAATTATTCAAATTAACTTTAGTTAAGGTCTTCTTCTTCGTAGAAAAAAAGCGCAACAACAATGCCTTCTTCTCCAGCTGTGAACGAGTCAACGATCGAATCGTTCTTCCTGCATTTTTGTGACGACCTTGTGAGCTAGCTTGCAAGCTCGAGCAAGCCCTCTGAGCTCAAGCTCACGATTTGGCTGACCAACCAAGCTCAAGTTAGGCATGACTCAAGCTCGGCTTGACTTATTTACACCCTTGATCTCATCTTCTCGAAATTGTTTATAGGTCATTAATATTCCTTAGAGTTTATTAATATTTTATTATTTTCATTGCTTTCTTAATATCATTTACATGATTTGTATGCTTTATCTGATTTACAATAATAAGTTGTTTGTCGATACTTGACTATTAGTTGTGAAAATTATAAATTTTTTGTTGATGTGAATACAGGATATGAAATTAAAACTTATTAATAAGATAAAGGTACATTGAAAACTTTCATACTAAATCCTTCAAAAAAAAAATTAACTGCAAGAACGGCAGGGTATACGAAATCATATAATGAATGGGAGAAATATTATATATAACAAATTTAAAAAATTTATAATATTAATTCAATTTTTAATATATATGATTTGACTTTCGTCAATAAACCTGATACCAATCCCCTTGGATTCTTCCTCTTTCCATCTCCTATTTCTGAATTCACATCCATTACTTCACCAGATACTTCTACCTGTCTTAATCATCAAGTTATTCATAATGATGAGATTATGTGCATTATTGATGGTAGATATCAGACGCATCTCATGCATTAACATACTAGGCCTACTTGTAATGAATTAGGGATTATTTTGTAAAAATCACAATAATTATGTCTAGATTTGCTTAACTAATATCAAACGCTCAGCAGAAAAATTTTTCAAGGAGGACAAATTTGATAGAAGTTTGAAGCTATATGCTCGTTGAATAACATATTTTTTTATTTACTGATTAAATAGTCAAGCTAGTTTGATTCAATTCTCACAAAATTTCTCAATTCAATTGCTTTTTATCCCCTATCCCAGCACATGTATGATTTCTCTATTATGTCCAACCATTGATTCGGTAGATTTCTTGTTCTTTTTCCCTTCTAGTTCCATTTTATGCATTGTGGCATGGTGTCTATGTATGTTGGTTTGCGGTTATCTACACTATAATATCAAGTCCATTCCACCTTGTTAAGCCATTGTTTGCTCTATTTTCTACTATTAACGACTTCCTACTGTAGTTGAGATACAAAATCTCCTAATTGTGGTTGTTATTGTTCATTAGATCATTGTTTATAGTATTGTTGAATTGTGATTTGTCTTTGTTGTGAAGTTGCCAACAGTTGGTTGTTTTTCTCATATGTTGTTAGGTTCCTCCATGACTTTCCTACTATAACTAGATGTGGGGATCTATCAACTTCTTTCTATTTGTGATATAGACCCCCCCCACTAAGAAAGGTAGGGGTAGACCTAAAAAGACTTGGTTAGAAAATATTAGGAATGACCTTTCTTTATTAGATTTAAACGAGAATTTGGCTTTTAATAGGACACAATGGAGAAAAAGGATTCATGTAGCCGACCCCACGTAGTGGGATAAAGGCTTGATGTTGTTGTTGTTGTTGTTGTTTGACAATTTTAAGCCAGATTCTGAGATTTTGGGAAACATGCAATTGTTTAGTGAAATTCAGATTCCTCTCAAACGTGTGTTTTTTATGCCAATTCCGCAAATGTGGTGCATGTCTTGACAATAATTTCCAAAGAAACATTCCTTCTACCAATGTGAAGATTGAATCTTCTAATTAGTGACTTCTATCTTTGCCATTTTTCATCTACATGTTTTGTGATTGATTTTACATATGGTTGAGATTTGAACAAATCTACTATAATATGTAATTCTTGGTTGTAGTGCGAAAATTAATCATTATATGACTTTATTTCGATCTCAAATTACTTGCATAATTTTTTACTTAGATGGTCTTTAAATTATCATTTGACGTGAGTTCCAAGTGCTTTCTAGTTTGCATCTTTTTAACTAAATGTTGGCAGGCAACAAATTTCAAAAATTTTGCTTTTTTTTAATGCATCTCATCCTAAGTTTGCATTAGGAAAATCCAATAACCTAAGACACCATGCATCATTTAGCAAATATAATTCACATATTTTGAGCAGCTTTCTGATGCAGATGATAGTTCACTAAGTATTATAGCCAAAGTGAATAGAAGGTTTCAAATCATATTTTTCATGAGATACAAAAATAAGAAAAAAATTATTAGAATTCTCTAATATTCACTAGGCAACAAGCTAGGAGCCACAAATGAGAGTTTTCCATGGATCTCTTCATCACCTATCAGATGGATGGGTCTACTTTGTCTCATGTTACCTTAAATTATTTTTTTAATTTTTATATTTTAATCCAGCAATTCATTATAATTTCCCTGTATGTGCTCATTTTATTATCTGGGAATAACACAATAGTTGCCTTAAAAAATCATAGAATCCAATGATTGGCAAGGGAATAAAAAGAACAAAATATTTAACACAACAACTTGATAATCAGATGATAATCTGAAAAAATAAAAAAGATAAAAAATATCGTTACCATATTATAAATAAAAGTCATCCTGCCTGGAAGGAACATCTCATTGGCTTTGATTATGGTTTGTGGCTTCACAATCCACTGGTACACTGACTGTATCAAGACTGCTATTTAGGAAACATAAATGAATTTCGAAAAGAAAATAAAGTAAACTTATAAAGGATTATTCACCTTGGCAGTCGCTGTGCGAAAAATGACTGGCTGATCATCCTTAGTTACCCTGTTAAATCAGATATAATATCAAAAACTTATTTAAAACGAATTACACTTAGATTTTACGGAGTGCTTAGTAGTCATAAGATGCATACCAAACTCATATGAAAGATAATTTTAGGATTTAGGGTTATCACAATTGGGATCTTAATCCCTTGAATTAGAATTTTTAAGCACTTCCATGAAAAGATGTAGAAGAGAAAACGCTAGGAAATGTTATTTGTATCCTTGAATGTCCGGCTTAGAATCTCAAGAATAGGGGAGATTTAGGAGAAAAATTAATCTATAGGATAAATTCTCCATTAAAACAAAGCCAAATGCACTTTATCAATAATGAGTTTCCTTTTCCATTTTTACAAGTACTTAAGATTCCATGAAATCCATTTGTTATCCAACTAGGCCCAAAAGAGGTTACTACAAAAAAAGTGACTTTAGCAGGGGAAACATCAACAAATACAAACGGCAGTGAAACATGAGAGAGTTTTGACAAAAGTTAAATGTTAAACTCAAAAAAATGGACAGTCAACCACAAATGCTTAGCTTTTGGTATAATTGCTCGGGTATAAAAAAAAAGTGGGACAATGCACCCTAAAGAAAGAAATTTATGTTTGAGGGAAATATGGTTGAAGTAAAAAATTATACTTTAAACAGGGGAGCTAAAAACACCTACCAAAAATATATTGAATAAAACATCATATGCATTTTTTTAACATATATTACTAAAAGAATAAGGAGAATTTGCTGTTTCTTTCATTCCAACATTTGTGTAGTTTTGGAACTAGCTAATGGCTGGTGTAATTTATAGCCTTTTGATTGCTAAATAAGAAATAAACGGAGATATGAATTTGATAGAAAATACTTGAAGATCTCATATGAAAACCTATCAATCTTGAAAAAACATAGGGAAATATCCACAAAACTCCGAGAAAAAAACAAAAAACAACAATTTATTGCAATAATTAGAGATAACAGAAGGAAAATACCAAGATACAATTGATCTTCAATCCGACTATCTCTCCCAATCCCTAGACGTAGCTAGAGCCAAAGAATGACAAGCCCCAAGAACACCAAAATCAGCCACAAATTTTCAGATACCCTAACCCTAATACAAACTCCTACTTAAAGAAAACACAAAAATAACACTTAAAAATAAAAAAAAAATAAAATAATAAAAAATAATACAAAAGAACTAAACAACCCTCAAACAATTAGCCTTAAGTAATGGACCCCATCCCGAGGAGGGCAGAATTTGAAGCCTATGGACCAGCAGGCTTGCACCTGTTGTATTGTAGGAGCCAGCCCACAAGTTGGTCGGTTGGACTGATCCAAGGTGGACCGGTCCAAGCGTATTAAAATTCATATGCTAAATAAGAAAAAATATGTCACAGATCCATGTGGTTGAACATGAAATGGGGAGCATCATGAATCCACATATTCATGTGTTAATTAAGGGAAAATATGTGCCATTGATCCATGTGTTAACATGAAAAGAGTGTCATGGATTGCACAAACAAGGAAAAAGTTTTGGATAGCATAATTTTTAAATTTTTATAATTAGTATTTCTCCTTTATGATTGTATGGTTTTCATTTATGTTCTAAGTAGTTGTGTGTATAAATATCCACTGAAGGAATAAACAACTTAAGCTTTCTAACCACTTATTTTCTATAAGATAAAAATTATAATCCTCCTACCAACATTTATCTTTTCTCTATTTCAATCTTATTCTCCTCGTCATATTTGATTTTTTTTTTGTACTTCCTTTCCAAAAAGTCGACAATCATAAATGGTTAAAATCAAACTAATCTTACCAAAGAAGAGTTTCATGGGCCACAAACTTCATCTCGTTGAAAGAAAAAAATTGTGTAAGGTAATTTTTGCTTGTGAAGATTTCTGAAAGGAAATGAAAAAAATCCACCATATTGTTGATCCACCCACCGCCAAATCTAAAAGACACAATTTTGCACTCTGGGATGAAGTAGACTCGACGATTAAGTTATAATTATGGAACACCAAAATGCCCGAAATCAGTGAATCATATACATTCCTAACAATTGCAAAAGAAGTTTAGAAAGTTATCAAACATACTCACTAAAAAGTTGAAGCACTTCCTTACCATGGAAAAATAATTAGGCAAATTAGATAAATGGACGGCCATACCTACTTAATGACCACTTATCATACTTCACTTCATTCTAAATAAAGACATCAGCTAGGACTATCATTATAGACTATGGCATCCCTCTCTTAAAACCCAACAATTTATCCTTCTCTTTTTATAAATATTAATAATGAAAACTTTCATTGTGAGACTAATGCAATGACTAAACATTATAGAGTTCTCTTTCCAAAAAGTGAATCCAAATGCTCAACTTCTTTTAATGTCAATATATTGTGATATTCAGGAACTTTCAAAAACCCCTACTAGTTATAGGGCTAAAGGATTTGTTACATTTATTGATAATTACACTTGGAAGATACGGGCATATATTATCAAACAAAAATCTATTATTATATTCTTTCAATCTTTATCGCTATGATAAAAATGAATTTGGTTTTCGCATAAAGAAAATTATGAATAATAATGCTCGAGATATTTTTAATCATACTTTATTTTATGTCTTTAATAAAAATTATTATATTTGTCAATCATATCCTATAATGGAGCGACCAAAAAAAAATGGGCACCTTTTGAAGTTTAACAGGACTATTACTCTTCCAAAATCAAGTTCCTAAAGGATTTTAGGGAGGATTTTAACCTCTGCATCTTAAATTAATAGAATACCCTCAAGATTGATTGATTTAAAAAATTGTCATCATTCCAAAAATTTGAGTACCATAGGCACTTGCTAAATTTCAAATCCTATACTAAATATCTACTACTATACGCTAAACACTTAACTTCTAATGACTAGCCTTAATCAAAAGTTCTCTCTCATTATTGAGATGGTTAATTAACCATGGGGCTTATGCCTATGAGAGATCTTGATCCAGATCATAAAATCATTGTGAAATGAGGGTGAAATCTCTAGGTAGTTTCTTATCTTAAACTTGATCTACCTTCCAAAATTTTGACCTAGAAACTACCAAACTCTCCAAGCAAATACGGCGCAAATTTTCAAAGCCCACAATCATATCCAAGCAGGGTTATGTCATTAGCTCATTTGGATGGAAAATAGACATAAACAAAAAGGGTAAAAAAAATAGAGTTGTAAGCTCTTAAATTAACTTTAATGTTGGGACTTTAGGTTGACAATTAAGTTATGAGAAAATTTAGTTGTTACCAAATAGCTCAAACATACGAAGTTTTAAATAAATACATGTAAATAAACAGAACCAAATTGAAGGCTATAATGAACAGACAAATTGGATAACAGACACAAAAGAAAAATCAAATGCAAATAAATGTTCAGGTAACAAAAAAACAAAAATCTTTTCAAGACCATTAAAAAAAAGCCTGAACTATTCAAGAAAATCAAGATAGAAGATCAGTTTTAGCCTCTCACCTCGAATTTCCATCATTTCCATCTTCATCATCTGCTTCCTTGTCCATTTCACTCCTAACCTTGTTAAGTAAAGCATAATCCAAACCTTTGACCAGATGAGTGTGTTCAATGTCTCCTGTAAAAGTGCAAAATAAAAGATATTGTGTGGGCATCATAAGTACCATTTTTAACCACAAAAAAACCCAATATATGATGAACACGTGTAAAACAAACTTCAAGTTTAAGATATTGGCTTCCGTTTTAAAGCAATACTCACAAAAGTTAACATTTTTTATGAAGCTCAATACCCTAAATTCTCTAGATATTTAAGAAAATTCAAAATTGATTCTAAAAATTATAGAATTTCTACTGGTTCCACAATTTTCTAAAACATTTTGATCAATTTGCAACTCCAAGTCCTCTCTAGAAAGGGCAAGTGATGCAGACAACTAAATAGAAAAACCAAAACAAAGAACACAATGGCTAGTAGAACTTTTCTCAATTCAATATTTAGCAAGCCAACACCAAACAAACGGAAGTTAGACAAAAAAACGAAAATAAAATAAAAATAAAACAAACTACCCTCAGAACAACCAACTAGAGGTCACCTCACATGCATCGAATTAGTAGGTAAAATAAGAAGTGCTCAAAGTCATGCAAACCAATGGTCCACCACAGCTACTTTGGGCCAACGTCCAACACACAAACTCCGGCAAATGCTACCAAACCGGCCAACCAACACCTTTAAAAGCTTTGAGAAAAAAGATACAAGTGGCGTGGAAACTTGTGGAGAGAAGTAGGTAAGAAGCCCAAGACGAAATCAAAGAGAGGAGAAGAGAAGTGGAAATAGCTCGCAAGCTTTCCAAGAAGAAAACCCTCAGGTTTAAGTAGTTTTCACTCACCAAAATCAGCTCTAAAATACCACAAAATAACCTATATTAATAGGTGAAGAGAGGGAGCCAAACAGCCCAAACAGCCGCCAACCAAACCAATCAGAAAAGGGGAGGCAAGGCTAACATGCAATCGGCTGGAGTAGCTCACGAAGAGGCACGCGGGAACAGGAGCAGCCAGCGAAGGAACAGGAGCCATGGAGGGGAAAGCATCGGGACAGGCAGAGGAAAATACAAGGGAAATGAATCTGGACAGCATTAATGAGCTGAAAAGGCATCATAACTCAGTAGCCATCATTACAAGGCAGCAAAACCCAAAACAACCAAGCCCAAACCAAGGAACCAAGTCAGCCCAAAAGCCATGGCACCAAAGAAACTAGCACACCAAAGGCAATGCATGTCAAAGAGCACAACCTACACATGACCATAGGTTGCCTTCCATCATAGGATAGAAAAAAAAAAGCACATAAAATTAAAATTACAATATAAAAAATGAAATTTGCATGCATCAGCAAGTCAATCCATAAGGAGAAATAAAGGATTTTTTACTGCCTTGCTTACTATTAGGATTTTTTTATTTTCCTATAAAATCCCATATTTTAAGATTTTATTAGCAATTTTTTAAGGGTTCTTTCTTATTTTCTAGCTCTTTCGAATTTAAATCGTTTAACAGACATTTCTTGAATCTTTAGAAATAGAAGTTAAGTTGCACTCTGAAGCATTATGTTTAGATTGAACAAAAAAATTTATTTCTCTAACCATAAAATCTCCTCTCCTTCCTCAAATACCAGCCTGCTTCTATCCCTCTTTCCATTTTTTATTTCTTGGTAAAGCAGAGCTGCCAGCTTCTCTCTCTCTAAGTTTTCCTATCAGGGAAGGCCGGCCAAAGCAGGATTTTGCATTTTGTGCTGAATAGCCATTGGCTACAGCATATCAGGGAATAAACCAAGTGCTCGCTGCTGCTTTGATCTCTGTTTTGCTAGAATCAGCGAAATCCCTCATTGTTAAGGGATAAAATCAGCGATTGCCAAAGGCAGGCAGCAAACAAACAAGGAAAAAAAAGCCAGAAGCATTGATTAGAGGAGGAGACTATGGAGATAGTTTTTAAAGGGGCGAGAACTTCATTAAAGTACCATTCTTTCAATTTGGTCTGCCATATGTGTGTTAATCTCCATTGCATAAACTCCAGTCATTCCAATCAGGCATTTTATCAAATATATTGATCCACTTGGTGGATTACCAAGGAATTTTCACAAAGCAATGTGAGATCTCTCGATTACAACATTGGATAGTTAGTTTGGAAAGAGCAAATCCCATAATTCTACAATGTAAGCAGATGACACGCTCTTACATAGTAAAATACCCAAGAATTTTCTCTGAATCACTAGAAAATTTGTGCACACCAACCCTATACAAGGAGGCTAGTAATCCGCAAAGGAATTCCAACCTAATTCTAAATGACCAACTTTCAAATCTACAAGTTCATGAATTAAAATAATTGACGATATGCCAACTTGCGATCTTCCCTTGGCAGGGTAAAAATTTCAAAAGAAAAGTCACTGAAACAACTATCAAATAAATTACCATCAAAAACTCGTCATCAATTATGGAAAGAATGAATGTGTTATTTCCATGGAATCATCTTACAATCAAAATCAATTATCTGTATTTTTTTCCTCAAACGCATCATCTAAACTTAAAACAATATATTAGATCACCTTTTCACTATATTTAAATTAGTTTGCCAACCTCTTGCTAGATCACTTCTTCATTTACATTCATGTTGATGTCAACTGACACTTGAAACTTGCCCAGTTATGCAAATAGTTGTTTTAATTGCAGATCAACTGTACATATAGATAAGGGAACCAAGATTCCCAACAAATGGCATAAAGAAAATAAATTGCACAAGCCGCAAGTTAAAATGTTTAAGGGGTTGTTTAGTTGGCTAAAAAATGAATGCATTGCAAAAGGAATATTTTGAAGTTGTTTGGATGAGTGTAAAGTAATTAAGATTATTATTTTTTTTATTTGAAGTAAAATAAATGTAGTGTAAAGTTTAAAGATAGTGGTGACCAGCGGGTGACTGTGGTGGTGGCCAGAGGGTAGCGGTAGTGGTGGCCAGCATCGTGCGGCGGGTGGTAGCAGACGGGGGCGGCGGTGTCCGGTGGCCAGCAGGTAGATGACAGTGGCCGGCAGCGATCAAGGGAGCTTGCTTGCAGTGTAAACCATTCTCGCTCAAAACTGGGCAAGTTTGGTTTTCCTCAAAAATAAATTAGAATGGTTTACACTACATCTACTTTACTTTGTATTCCTTTTTCATCTAACCAAACACCAAAATTTTCAAAATCCATCCATTTGGAATACTCTACACCTTCATGTAATACAACCAAACAGCCCAGCCCCTAAAGGAATCAATAAAACAACTTTTTCTTAGCCAATAGCTAAAAGAAATTGAGAAGTTGGTAAATAGAAATATCATACAATTCATACAAAGCATCCATTATCATATTCAAATTATAATCCATTTTATCCCATCCAATTAAGGCATGCTTCATGAATCCTTATTTTGCGTCAATTCATGTTGAATGATATCCAAGTTGATAAGCATATTTGATAGGAAATACTTGAGTCCACAAGTAACCCTAAGGTAATACTAGAGTTTGCAAGCAATCCCAAGCAAAATGGATGAGCAAACAGCAGGATTTCTGCTGTTTACAGCAGAAATCTGCACCAAACCAGAGGAAAACGGATGGAAAAACTGAGAGAAAACCAAACAAAAGCTTGTATTTCACTAGTAGATGAATAAAACAGCAAAGATACAATTGATCCTCAATTCGAGAGGAGGATCGATCTCTCCCAAATCTCTAGATGCCGCTAAAGCCCAAAGAAACCTAAATCTAAGAGATCTCAAATTTCAGCCAAATTCAAGATCCCCAAACCCTAGGAAAACCAACTATTTAATGCATACAAATCAAAAGGAAATCCCTAAACAGTCCCTATATTCAAATTCCCCTCTTAATCTCCCCAAAAAACCTTCCTATTAGGCTCCCGCAATGCTAACGGCTCGCACGGCCTCCGCCCAGGCGAAAAAATTAGCGTGTTTCGCGTCTGGGCCGGTCCCGCGTGGACCGGCTGGACCGATCCACTGGACCGGTCTAACAATATTCTTCATAGATCATTTTAAATAATTTCTATCTATGTTATTCTAAGTATATTCCTTCTCCTTCATAATCCCTTAATACTAATTTTATCTATTCATCCAATTGGTGCCCTTTTCATCCTTCATCGTATATGATACAACACACTAAGATTATTTTCAATTGCCCCATCTTAAAACAGATGTCACTCCAATTATTCCACTAACATATAATCAATCATTAATTTATTACGCATTCATCTAAAAATTCTCTTCTTCTTTTTTTTTTTCATGCTCAACTTAGATATCAATAATATTTTTATTGTCCAACATTTGAATCCATAAATCATTGACCTGATTATGGTTTAACAAAATTTACCTTCAAGTCTCCATGATCCCCTTATCACATAATGCTCTAATAAAGTTCTATATTTTAAATATTTAGCCTTAATCCTAAAAATCATATTCATATTTATATCTCCATCCTTCCCTATAATGGATCCAAAATACTTAAAACTATCGCACCTAGATATTATTTTATCTTTTAATAATTTTTATTGACCATTATTAATATCACACTCATTAAAACATAAAAATTCATGATGAGACCAATAAAAAATATAAGCTGCAAATCCTTAATAAATTGTAGATAACATTACGATGTATGAAATTTCCAAACGTAAGAAGCAAAATGTACAATATTGTGGTGCCTCAACCTACAGTGCCTGCTATTTACATTTCAGATAATAATAGCACTGCATTTTCCACTTAAATGCCTTGCCAGCATAAAGCATTTAATTATTGAACTATTTGCTTCAATGTTAAATCTCCATTATAGCACCTGAGAAGCCTGTTCGAATTAAGTTATATCCAACTTAACACAGTGAATCAATGACAAATAAAACACAAGATATAGCATGTTCCATCAGCAAAGTACCAAATCATACAACATATCAAGAATTCATTAAATAAAGGAGTTATCCATCAAATGCACACTTCACAGAACTAAACAAGAGATCATATGTACAAACCTCCAAGATACTTGCTATTCTCAATAGATATCTTATGTGCATCAGCAATTCTGCAAATAAGAATCAGCAACAACTAACAGATAAGACTCTTTTTAAAGATGTGGATGAATCTGCAAAACCAAAAGTGAATCTTGTCATTAAACTTTTGGTTTAAACTTGAAAGATGATATTGACCTTAAATCAACTGTCCCAGGAGGACCAACTGCATGAAATGAACCCAGCTCTGTGGGCTCATAATCAGGATTCTGATCTTCTCTGCGTTCCTTAGCACGATCACGATATTTTGGTGCTTCAGGTGGTTCTTGCTTCTCCTCTCTGTTAAACAAAGGAAAAAAATTTTGTGCATATTGGATACATAACAAAAAGACAATCAACAACGAAATTTAAATGGGCTAGAAGGCTAGAAGCTAAAGAATACAGGCAGATGAAAGAAAATTTGAACTGAGCAACATATGCTGATCAATGCACATTTTGTAATAGGCAAGGGTTACTGGTGGACATTGAGTCAACATAATGTGATCCAGATCTTCCATTGTTCAGATTAAAGTCATGTTACAGGCAACGGAGAAAAATAAAGCTAGGGTAGCTTTTGCCTAACCATGGTGGTGATGATGATGATTAATGGGTAACTAGTGCCCAACAAAACATGTATGAGAAATATTTAAGCATGAAACAGTTGCTAAGAAATTTTTTATGAAAAAATGATGCATTTACATGAATGGGACCATGACACATCAAAATATCTAGTAAAAATCTTTCAATTAAATTTTATTTATCTTGCCAACAATTAAGTTTAAAAAAACGTACAATGAAGTTACAGATAAAGGCAAAGATCAAAGTTGGCACCTTGTTCTGGTAACAAAATGCCTACTCATGTCTGTAAACATATAAAGCATGAACGTGGTACAACATGGATAGAGTACAATGCACCCAAAAAATAAGAAAATAGCAACCAAGAAGAGATGATTATTTTAATATTAAACATGACATGCATTAAAATATATCTAATACCAATACTTATCGTTAAAGCCATACGTCAAAATGAAACTCAAACTCTATGAGAATATATCACCATAGTATCATTATTTTCAAGACTTCAATAATAAAATGACCAGAAATTCAGTTGCATATAACAAATAACAAAAAAGATAGGCAGCATGCTATACTATCACTTTAAATTGCAGGCATACTTCAACAACAACATCAAGCCTTTATACCACTAAGTGGGGTTAGCTACATGAATATTTTTTCTCTATTGTGCCCTGTTAATAGTCAAATTTTCATTTAAATCAAATAAAGAAACGTCATTTCTAATATTTTCTAACCAAATCTTTTTAGGTATACCTCTACCTTTCTTAACATAAGCCAAATCTAATACAACTACTTTCCTAACCGGGTCATCGAAAGGCCGACGTTTCATGTGAGCAAACCACCTAAGGCGACTCCCTTTAATCTCATCGTCCACTGGAGCTACTTCCAACCTTTTCACATATATGCTCATTTCGTACCCTGACTCTAAGCGTAAAGCCACTCATCCACCTGAGCATCCTCATCTCTGCCAACACTTAACTCAATATTGTGCTTCTCTTTTAATGGCCAACATTCTCCTCATCTCTGCCAACACTTAGCTCAATATTACGCTTCTCTTTTAATGGCCAACATTCTGCCCCATAAAGCATTGTAGATCTCACCACAATCTTATAGAATTTTCCCTTAAATTTGAGAGGGCCTTTTCTATCACACAACAAAACCCGATGAATTCCTCCACTTCAACCATCCAACTTGAATTCTACTAATCCCATCTATTTCACCATCACTCTGAACAATAGACCCAAGATATCTAAAATGTGTACTCTTATTGACTTGATCGCCCAAAGTCATAATCCCCACACTAGATCTATTACTATCAAAATTACACCATATAATCAGTTTAGATCTACTCAAATGAAAACCTTTAGACTCTAAGGTTGACCTCCATAATTCAAGTTTACCTTCAACCCCCTCTCTAGTCCTATCAACAAGAAGAATATCATCAGCAAAAAGCATACACCAGGGTACACCTTGCAAATGTCTAGTGAGAAAATCCATGATTAAAGCAAAAAGATATGAACTTAAGGCTGATCCTTGATGTAATCCAATTGAAATAGGAAAATACTTGGTCAAACCACCTTATGTTTGAACACAAGTAATAGCTACCGCATGCATATCCTTAATGACATGAATATAAGCATTATTAACCACTTTCATTTCAAAAACTCTCCACGACACTTCTCTAGAAACTTTATCATATGCTTTCTCCAAATCAATAAATATCATATGTAGATGCTCCTTATTCTCTCTATACTTTTAGATCAAACCTCTCAATAAATGTATAGCTTCCATAGTAGACCTACCCGACATGAATCCAATTTGATTTTGAGAAAAAATTAGCATCACGTCGCAACCTATGCTCCATAACTCTCTCCCATAATTTTAAAGTATGACACAATAACTTAATTCCTCTATAATTCACACAATCTTGTGCATCATCTTTATTCTTAAAATAGGAATCAACACACTCATTCTCCACTAATCTGGCATCTTTTTAGCCTTAAAAATAATATTAAAAAGTTTAGTTAAGCCAAGAAATTTCTTCATCTCCTAAGCATTTCCACACCTCTATTGGATTATCATCAGGTCCAACAACTTTTCCACACTTCATTTTCTTTAAAGCCTCTCTAACTTCGATTTTACTAATACGCCGATAGAAATAAAAATCTTTATTGTTATTTAAGGTGCTAAGGTCACTAAAGTCAATCCTATTCTTACAATTTTCATTGAAAAGTTTAACAAAATATATCATCCACCTTTGTTGAATATCCTCTTATAAAAAAAAGTATTTTTTAATCTGCATCTTTAATGCATTTCACTTGAACTAAATCCTTATTACTCTTATCTCTTTATTTGGCTAACTTATACATATATCTTTCACCAACCTTAGTATCTAATCTATTACATAAATTATTAAAAGCTACAATCCCTACATTACATATTACTTTCTTAAACTCCATACATGCATCTTTATATATTTCTCAATTATCAGAATTTTTGCATATAAACTAATTTTTATAATAAATCTTCTTATTGTTTATTTTTTCTTGCACATTTTGATTCCACCATCAACTATTTTTACTATTATGAGTTTTTCCCTTTGATACTTCAAGCACATCTTTTACAATATTCTTAATATCATTAGCTACCTTTTCCCACATAACATTGTTTTCTCATGCACAGACAAAATTTTAAGATCTAAAATCTTACTCTCAAAATATTTTTGTTAATATTCTTTAAATACCCTCATATAATCCTAGAACAATATTTTACTTTATTTTTTATTTTCTGCCCCTTCATTTTAAAGTCCAAAAATAATAAGTGTGTTGGGTACATAAACTTTCACTCAGAATAACTTTAAAATTTTTGCAATCGAAATAATATATTTTTTATAAGAAAATAAAATTAGGCTAGAATTAAAGATGACTTGTAGATAAAGGGGTTTCAATTATGTCATTGAGTTTAAAAGAAGTGCTCAGGGCGTGTACTGAATTTGTTGTTAGTTTATCTTAGCCTTGTTTAAACAATCTTCATTTAATGAAAAACATGAAAAAAAAAATTGTAAAAACTTATCAAACATTTCAAACCACATCCAAAGCATGACGTATTTCCAAAGAAGTGGATGTAGCTTCTGGAAGAGCCTAACTTTAAAAGTGTAATTCCAAACCAAACAAAAGGTGGCAAAAAGATAATAAAACATATGCAATGGTGTAGATCACCAACGTATAGTCCATCTACTCTATTTAAGGCATGCTTTAAGAGTCCTATTATGATATACTCATCCATATTAAGAATTGTATTTGGTGTTAAACTATAGCTTATGCTAAACTTTTGGCCAAGTTACCTTCCCCAACCCCTTTTCTATCATATTCCTTCCACTTTAGTTCTTTAAATAACCTTACCCAACCCCTTTCTTCCTTCATATTCCTACTACATTAGTGCTTTCTTTCAGACCTATCGATGCATTAATTGCTCTTCATCATATATACCATTACATACCTATCAACCACTAAGTGCTTGCCCACAACCCCTCAAAGTCACTTTTAATTGTGTAAATCTTTATTGAATTCACCATATTGATCATGGCAACATCATTTATGAGAAAGACAAGCATTTTCACAAAAATAAAAATAAAAAGTGCATTGTATAGTTTGCTCACTCCATTCACATTGTCGCAATGCCCAGGCATGAATCTTCACCTTAGGCTTAAAGCCAAGCCTTTAGTTCCAGTACATATTCTTTTCTTAATGCACAATAAATACCTCTCTATTTAACCAGCCAAATTTAACTACAAAAGTTATCCTCATCTATACCTCAATCTATAGTAGAATGGAACCAAGATAGCTAAAGCTATTGCACTTTTATTTCAATTGATCCTCCATCATCATTAATTAATGTTTATTATTTCAACTTCCTCTAAAAAATGTGTGTTACTCAACCTTTGTTCTACAACTACTAATGTTAGATCTCCTATATTTAAAATGTGTCCTTTGTTATAACTTTTTACGTATTACAAAAATAACCTAACCTATTTGCATTTAATTCAATGCAAATTTAAATAATAGAGAACTCTAAAAATGGAACTCAATATTATAAAAACAAAAACTAATGATATAGTGTGCAATCTTTTGGGATAATGTAAATGAAAGTGAACAAAAAACATAATTAAAGATCAAATAATACTTGAATTTGATAAGTTTGAATATTACAAATCTATGAAGAACAAAACATTGGGATTGTAAATTAAGTAATAACTAAAACAGAATTTAATATGTTATATTAGGATGAAAAAGAACTCGGTGCCTCATTGTTTTATTGTGAAAAGAGAATATCGTGGAAACTACATAGCTCTGTTCTAATTAAATTTTAAAAGAAATAAGATCAAATATTATGCATTAATTACATGTAAAATAAACAATCATAGCATTAATATGAAAATTTGGGCAAATCATAAAAAAAGGAGCACACATTACGAAAACTACAAATTGTTGGACAAGGCTAATGGATGATGATGTCAATGATATTGGAAAAACAAGAAATTAACAGTGTGTAGTGAGTAAAGATTACAAAAATGTCATGTTAGCATCTGATAAAGAATAAGACATAATCAAAAGGCCCATATGACCTGGGCATTTACGCCGGCCAGAAGATGAAAAATCTCAAAGTAGGTGCATAAGATTAAAGTGAAAGGACTGGCTAAAAAGATGGATGGACTTACGTTAATATTGTAAAAAAATTGTTCAAGAAAATAAAGTAGCTATGCATAATATTTGACCAAAGAAGCTGACTTCCAATATTTCGGATGATAAATATAGCATTGTTGCAGTTAGAGAAACAATAGCGTGGAGTGCGACGCCCATAAAATTTTTAAGCCAACATAATGACATTGCTGCTGTTAGTGACAAGCATAAGGACTAGAGTGAAAATGAAGCGGAGGCAGGGTTTATGACTTACTTCTTTCGTGAAACTTTTTCCTTGTAATGCTTTTTGGAAGACATAGTTGAATATCACTGACATAACAGACAAATCAAGTCAGCTCAGGGCAGATAAATCTTTTCAGTGCTTTCTAAGAAAGAACAGCAGATTAATAGATGGGCTCTTTTACATTTTTAAATTGGAAAACACGTTTGAAATATAGGTTGAATTCAGCATAACTATAAACTGTTTATCCATCTATGTGTTATTATTTCGGAAATAACTCACAACTGGTAAGGGTTGTTTCTGATTAGGATTTAATCTAAATCCTGCCAAATAGCAAAAATGACAGCTTTAACTTCTACAGAGTATTAAATCCCGTTTCTCCCCCGTTTTGCCTTAAATCCCGGATTTAGTAAATCTGCAAGTCTCTCACGAACTCTTCTTCTCCTTCACACTCCCGCACAGGCCGCTGGTACCGTCGATGCCTTCTCCAGCTAACTCCCGCCGCGACTTCCTCGCCCCTTACTTTTTCTGCCAACGAGGGTATCGGGAATCACGTTTCTTTTGGCCGTCGAGGGTTTCGTGAATTTGGGGACGAGTGGAATACGGAGAAGAGACGACGAGTTACTCAATTTATTGTATTTTTAGGAATTTTTAACATTTTAATTAAATATAATTAAATAAGATAAATTAATAAAAATGTTAAGTTAATTTTAGTAAGTATCATTACTGAACTAAAAGTTATTAATTTAAACAAGTTAATATCATTTATTATTTAATTTGATTAAATAAAAAATAATATTTTATTTTAATATGTAATACTGCTTAATTAAAAAGACTTTAATTTAATTTAATTAAGATTATTGACGGTCTAACTTGATTGCATATAGTTCATTATGTTTAATTAAGTTTATAAACTGCAAATAAAAAATAATTATCATATTGATCTTAAATAATTATAAATAAATAAATATAGATTTGATAAAAATTTCATCAATTAAAATTATTTTTAAGCCATATTGATCTTAAATAAATAAATAGTTGCCCCCCCTCCCCTCCTCTTGGTTACATGAGGTTCCGCCCCTGAAAACACATAATAAAAGTAGTTTGGTGCCTAGGCAATAAAATTTTCTTAATCATTAAATCCTTTGTTCCATAAGGAGATATGGCTTAAAAAAAAAATTTTAAAAAAAGGAGAAGATATGGCTACAATATCTTAAAGTTGATGAGGATTTTTTTAATGAGTTGAAACCTTATAAAGTTGTCAAGGATATGGGAGAATGCGCATGAGAGTTTTGAAGATGTTAGGTGTATCTTACGATTGAGGGAGTCTATAATTTAGATTGATCAATCTCTATGTGGTGTATATGAGAATTGTGTTGGAAAAAAAGATAATTACATGTAAAAAAGATAGAAGGACTCTCTAAAACTTTGAGGGATCATTTACCAAACTTTATTAAATTAAAGAGTAGAAAGGCTACCAAGATTTCTACATGAAACTTGCATAATCAAAAAGAAATTTCATTTAAATGAATCTAAAAGTATAAAGTAATGTCATATTAATAAAATTTTTCAAGCTAGATAACTTTGAAAATTCTTATGATGAATACAAATATATTAAATGAATTGATGAATTATCCTAATATAAAGAAAAAAATAAGAGAACCAAATAAAAATTAAAGTTTCTAAAAGTAACAAAAATTTCCTAAGTCAAATAAGGCACATGGAGTGGTCTTGAAATTAACTAATCTCTCACGATCTTTACCTCCTTAATTAGTATGGTTGACCTACCTATCAAGGCACCTCAAATTATTATTTTTAATTATTCTCCAATAATTTCATAGGGTTGAGGAGTCATACATAGGCTTGCTTGAAGAGTTGCACATGGTGAATAGCCCAAACCTAGATGTACATATTAGGTTTGTAATATTATTCTTTTCCATTTTGTTGGTGTTGTATCACCTTGTGATTTATTCCCCTCTAGACATTTTTTGTACAATAATTTTTCTCTTTTATGACATGTTATGAGAAGCTATATATAAGATGCAATAAATAATATTTTCAAAATATTGCGGTTGAGAGTTTTTTCAAAATATGTCTGAAGTTCTATTTAAACTAAAATATTCTCATTTTTAAACAAATAGAGTCAAAACTATCATTGAACAGTTCTACGACCCTTCAATTGTAAGATCACCTCAATCCTTCCACTTCTCATCACTTTCTTCATTTTTGGTGATTGCAAGGCGTGCATCTTCAACGTGTGGATACAATTTGCAGAAATGTTTTCTCTCTACTAATCATCCTTAAAGGTTAGTGATATTTCTCTATTTATCTTCTAGGATTAAAATAGGCTTTTCACTCTAAACCCTAAAACCTTTGTTCATTAAATTTTATTTTACATGCCAATTGTCATGTTAGAGCCACATTTTCCATTAAAATGATGATTAAATCACCATTGAGCAATCTTAAAAATCTTTAAAAATAATCGATGTTACATGAGTCTCAGCAATGTCTTCGACTCAAGATTTACTCAAATAAACTTTGATGCATTGTAGCCTTATTCAAACCCCTTAGGACCATGGTCGGATTTATCTTTACTGTTAATTGATCATATAAGTAATCTTAGAAGAAGGTTTAAATAAAAGTACAAATAAAGTTCAAAGAAGCTTAAATAAAACTTTATGCATCAAAGTTTATTCATATATTTAAATAATGAGTTGAAGATGTTATAAAGAATTATCGAATAGGAGAATCATTGTGGTCAATCATGATGATTCAATCATTGTCGACGATTGGTTGATCAATATCCAAGATTGTTCGAAAATTGTTAAATCTAGTTAAAAGATGATTTTTGGTAGACTTGTCAATTTCGGGTTACGGGTCGGGTTCGGGTCAACCCGAAATTGACCCGGTATTATTCGGGTTCGGGTCGACCAGACCCGTTTTTTCAAACGGGTCGATTTTCTGGACCCGAACCCGACCCGTTTTTGCAAACGGGTCGGTTTCCCGGACCCGAACCCGACCCGCTTCGGGTTCGGGTCAACCCAAACCCGAAAATTCCGGGTCGGGTTCGGGTCGGGTTTTCGGGTCGGGTCAAATATTGACAGGTCTAATTTTTGGATTTACTCATTTAAGTTATTGTATATGCAGATATCCAATATGATATTGCCAATTTATAGGCATTGCATTGCTCAGGTCCCATATAGAATTGGTGCAGGGGTAGGGAGGGCGGTGTTATGGAGAAATTTCTTGGGAAACTTGAGGCTAACAATCTCATCACCCAAGCTAAGGAATCTACCTCTCTTTAGGAAAGTCTTCAAAGCTCTTGGAATGTAATTCTCTGGTGCCCTAATTCATTAATTATTATAAAGAATAGTTAATGATGAAGAGAATGGTGTGTACTCCATTATGTTTAATATTAGAGAGAAGAACACAATCGTTGGCATTATAGAGTTTACTTTAGTGATTTGGTTGAACTTTGTAGGGTCCCAAACTAATGATATGTTTAAGAGGATGGCAATAAATAATTAGATGTTTTAGATATACTTTAATTAGGATAAGCATTTAATAATGTATGTCTTAAAAATGATTTTAGAAAGTGTATTGATAAGGATGATCTATGAAAGCTTGGGCAATATTTGAGGCTAACAATCTCATCACCCAAGCTAATGGGTTTACCTCTCTTGAGCAAGTCTTCAAAGTTCTTGGAATGTATTTCTTTGGTGCCCTAATTCATCAATTATTATAAAGGATGGTTGATGATGAAGAGAATAGTGTGTACTCCATTATGCTTAATATTAGAGGGAAGAACAACATCGTTGGCATTATAGTGTTTACTCTAGTGTCTGGGTTGAACTTTGAAGAGTCCCCAACTAATGATAAGCCTAAGAGGATGACAATAAATAGTGATATGTTTTAGATATACTTTGATTGGGACAAGCATTTTAAGAATGTCTTAAAAATGCTTTTAGAAAGTGTATTAATAAGGATGATCTATGAAAGCTTAGGCAATAGCTTTTTGTAAATGGTGTCCTCAATGATGATAAGCATAATGTTGTCTTCACTGAAATGATTCTCATGGTTGAAGATGATGACATTTTTTAGATATTCCTGGTGTAGGATGTCATGGGAAAGGATACTACGAGGGATGTAGAGGAATATGATACACTATCAAGGATATGCTTTAAAGAAGAATTGTTCAACCCAATATATTGTAACAAATATATAGTATTACTAGAGCATTGTGTTTATGAAACCATTCCAAATGTGGGGGAGAGATGTATTGAGTTCCATTGGGAGAGAGTACTAATGATGTCAAGCTGAAAGAGAAATAAAGTGCTCGCAAGAAAGGATTTGTTTCCATGATTTATTAATAAATATATAAATATATTTTAGGGTTTAAGAATATGAGAAATTCTTATTTTCAGTTTTATTTTTTGTAGGGAGTTATCCTTCATAAACTGGTACATAGTTGAAGAGGATTTATAAAAGTAGAATTACATAAACCCTATAACTCTTTCATAATTAGAATTACAAAGAAAAAATAATGTATACTAATTTTTTTATGAGAGAGCAAGAGAGGGTGCAAAAATACAATTAGCTACATGTCAATTCATTTCATCCTAGGAAGGGATGAAACAACTTTCTACCATTAATTTGAAGTTAAGAATTGGACAAATACAACTAGAGAATAATCAAATAAGATTATAATAGAAATTGAATGCTCTAATGAATCTGATATATAGTTTTTTACATGGGGCACATCAAGAGAGGAGGTGGAGGAGGCAGAAAGTGAGAAGGTGCATGCCATTGACCTAGCTTTTGGTGAGGTGGAGACGGAGAATCAACATGG